GATGGCAGGCGGACAGATGGGCAGGCGGGCAGGGTACGGCGGGACAACATCCTTCGTAACTTGGGCAGCCTGTCCAGAGAGCCAGGCCCAGGCAGGACCCCTCTCTTCTCCTTCACACCAAAGGCCTGGCCGTCTTCCCCCAGTGGATGCTCCTGGGGACCTTCTTGGGGTTTCAACAGGTGCATCCTGTTTGGGGCCCAAAGAGGGAGCAAGGGAAGGCCAGGGTGAGGCTGACCTGCCCCCTCCTTGGGGCACTGCTGCAGCCCCCGCCCACTGTGCTTCTCGGGCCGGTCCCGGCAGGGCCGCCGGCCTGGGGTTGAGTCCTTGCTGTGTGAGCTGGGCAAACCGTCTGCAGTCCCTGGTCTGCAGAACCATGCGGGCCGGGCGGGGAGGGCTGGGCAGGGCGGTGTGCGGGGCGGTGCAGGTGGAGCTGAGCTGGATGCCCCATGTCCTGGATGCTTCTCTCCTCGACTCTCCGCTTCCACCCGTTTGGCTGACGGGGATCCGAGGCTGGGAGGAGGGGAGGCAGCCGCCTGGGGTGTGGACATAGGGTCTGATCTGACTGGGTGAAGTCAGTTCTTGCCTCTCTGGGCCTTTGTGCTGGGAAAGGTCAGACCCAGGTACCCCACCATGGCCGGATGTGTGGTGACCCCGGTCCTAACAACCCTGGGGTTCACAGTCCCTTGCCTGCGATTGGCACGGGCCAGGCTCCGGGAGAGAGCGGGGCAGCGGGGCTGGGCTGAGAGCGACCTGGGCAGCCTGCCGTCTCTGCCTCTTCACAGCCTCAGCCAGCACCCTCCCCCGGGACCCAGCCAGTTTGCGGGGGGCTAAACAGCACAGCAGCCACTGTGGCTCAAGGATGACATTACATTTTTTGGCCGGCCGGACATTCCTGGCTCGCTGTGTGGAGGCGACAGTCTCGCTCTGTCCAGCCATTCCCCTGCGTCCCTCCAGACTCCCCCTCCTGTCCTGGTGGCTGGCGGCAGGGTCAGGCAGGGAGCAGCCCGGCCCCGTGCTCAGGCGGAGCCGGCGCAGAGCCCCGGGGCTGCAGGTGGCCCGGAAAGCCTCCCCTTGGTCATTTTTGGCCCTGCGCTGGCCTGTGGGCTCCCCGCCAAAAGCAATTACTGAATTTCCATCTTCTTTTGCTGACGGTTTAGAATATGTCAAAAATGTTCCACTGGGAGACCCGAGGGCACCTCGGGGGGTGGGGAGTCCAGCTGTGACTGGATCCCCCGGGGGGTAGGCCTCTGGGGCTCCTGGCGAGACGGAGGGATGGGGGCAAGTGAGGGCTGTTTGCAGCTGTCGTTTGTCGGTGCTTCCAGAACTCCAGTCTGGTCGCCACGCCCCTCGTCCTGTCACTCACTGCAGACTCTTCCTCCCATTGCATAGAAGAGGAAACTGAGGCTCAGAGCTGTGCTGCCTGCTGCTGACATCCCGCCCTGGGAAGTGGCCACACTGGGGGGCCGTGCCCAGGATGCACCCTGCTGTGGGCTGCCACCTTCCCAGCTGAGGAGGGCTCGCCTGTTCTGCGGTGAGCGGGGCAGAGGCTGGGGGCCCAGGGACCAGAGGAGCAAAGCAGGATGAGCCCTGAGCAGCTGTCCTGGCCTCGGGGGGTGCCCGGAGTAACTGGAAAGCAAACCAGGCCTGGCTGCCCCCCTCTTAAATGTCTGCACTAGGGGGTTTGTGCCCTGGACCTGGAGCCTAGTGCCTCTGCAGGGAAAGAGATGCCAGCAAAGGACCTTGTGGGTGAAGGCCCCTGGGTCGCCTGAGCCTGCAGGCAGGGGCAGGCTTAGCATTTAGGCTCATACTAGGCAGGCTGGATTCTGCCTGGTGGGCTTTGAGCAGGACCCAGGCCACCCTCCGTCCCCCACAGAACCCTCGGGAGTGTCCACTGGACATAGGCAGAGGGTGGTGGAAAGGGGGCCAGGCCTACAGCCCTAGCCACAGGTGTGGCCTGGGGTCAGCTGTCATGGCTCTGGGCAGCTCCTGACCCTAGCCAGAGGGAGACCAGGGCTTGAGCCACTGCTGGGAGGTGGGGAGCTTCAGACCCCCAGCCCCTCTGCTGGCCTCAAAGTCCACCACAGAGGAGTTTCCTAACGGGAGAGGAGGGAGGGGATGAGAGCCACTGGGGAGAGGAATTGGGCTGGGAGTTGAGTCATACCTGAAGGCTTTGAACCCCAGTTATTTGCACATCCTGGGCAGCACCCCCAGGGGCAGGGGTGCCCTGTCCTGGGCAGAGCTGGTGCCCGGCCTCTTTTCCCCACAGCTCTTCTCAGGGTGCAGAATGCTGGCCCACCAGGGCCTGGCCCACTCCACATACACAGGCCTTGAGGACACATGTGCACATATATGTGTGCATGTGCACAAGTGTGGTGCACATGAGCGTGCGTACGTAGAAGCACATGCATGTATGTGTCTGTGCACTCATGTGCTTTAACAAAGTGCTCCCACTTCCTGTTTGGCAGGTTGGCTTAGTCCTGACGACTTTGTTAGGGTGTCTATTTGATCCTCAAATGCTTCTCACCTACACCCGGTGCCCAGATCTGGTGGTCAGGGTGACTGGTATTGGCCCTCCCCGCCAAACATAAAACTACTGGGCAGACAGGGTCAGGGGCAGGGCAGACGTGCACACAGGCTACCTTGGTGCAGAGGAGAGGGCTCCAGACCCAGCTGCAGCCAAGACCAAGCAGCCTTCCCGGGGCAGAGTGCACCCGAGCTAAGTGCAGACTCAGGTGAGCCATAGCCAGCCAGCGGCATGGGGCTATGGGGTGGGCGAGGTTCCGGAAGCCCCAGGGTGGGAAGTGGAGCGGCAGGGGCTCTGACCAGCAGGTGTGGCTGGAGCCTGAGACTGAACAGGGTGTCCACAGGGAGCAGTCAGGTTGGGGGTGAGCTGGGGAACCCAGCCTTAATGGTCGGGCCTGGTGACTGTAATAGATGCCATGTGTGCCCATGTGTGTATCTACGTCCCTGTGTTGACATGGCCTGGGCCTGGCTTCCAGCTGGTCCTGAGCCCTGAACGGCCACATGTGTTTGGGATTATGGCTTCAATTTCAGGGGCAGAAGCAGCCCCAGCCTTCAAAGGCCCCATCTAGGGAAGTAGGCAGAATGTCTGTCTGAGGAGCGGGCCCACAACAAATCTGTGACCTGGGAGGCCAACAGAGGCCTGGGCACTCATGGGCTGTCCTCTGTGGAACAACTGAGAGGGGTCTCGGGGCCAAAAGATTAGCCACCCGAGGGAGGGGCTCTTCTGAGCAGCCTGGCTCCTTTTGGCTGATAAAGAGAAAGGTCCGTGGGTCTAGAGGATGGACACCAGGTCCCCACTGTCCTTTAAGGGACTGGCTGGGGGGCTGGAATGTAATGGAGGATGGGAATATTCCAGGGAGTGGCATGGGGGGAGGGGCTACGGGTGGTTGGGGTCAGGGCATCCCTCTGACAGGAACATTTAGAGTCCTTGTCCCCAGGTGCAGGCCTGGCTTGTGGGCGGGGTTGGGAGTGGGCCCCAGGGCTCCTGGCTGGGACATGGAGCCCTAACCACAAGGCCACCAGGCCTGGGATCCCTTAGGCCTCCCCCATGTCCACCAGGGGGTGGCCTACACACCACGGCTGCCTGGCCTTTCTCTGTTTCGGCTCACCAGGGCTCCTGGACTGCATCTCCTGGGGCGATATGAGCAGTGGCCCATGTGAACATACCTAGACAGGAAAAATGTGCTTGCTCCAGGAATGCTGCTGTGAGCCGTGCCCTTCACCTCCTGGAGGGACGCCCGGTGCCCCAGCCTGGGGTGGGGGCCCTAGTGCCTTTCACGGGCCCGGGCTGAGAGACTCTAACCAGATGCCATTAGTGGTGGGTCGGGGAAAATCCAACTATCGCCCTGTAGCCTGTCAGCATATTGATGCGACGCTCTCCAGGGCTAAGAGCAAATGCCTCTATCTGAGGATGCCTCCCGGGCTTTCTCTGCGCCCTAAGCCCCCAAGTACCCGTTCTGTTGGGGCAACAACCACCTGCCACCTTGTGTTATTTGCTGGATGGACCCTGCCAAATGAGAAGCTCCAGTATTCAGGGTCAGGCGTGTGTGTGTGTGTGTGTGTGTGTGTGTGCAGCCCTGGACCCCACAGCCAGGGACTGCTCAGGCTCGGGGGCTGCCTGTGGGTGAAGCTGGAGCTCACGGGTGCAGGGGGCTCTCGGAGGTCTGCCTGGCTGCTCTCTGCGCACACAGACCTGCCCTTGAGCACTCCTGGGTGGGGAGCACCCTCAACTGCCTCATCGTCTTCCTCTGTCCTCACACTCTTACTTATCAGAATGAAGCTGAGTGCCCATCTGGCTGCTCTGCTGTTGCTGAGAAGTAGGCCCCCTCCCCACACTGCCCCCCACAGCCTCGGCTGTTTCCCTTTCTTCTGTGAACCCAGACATGATGTGTCTGAGTCAGGAACTCCAAGCATGGGCCTGGCCCTTGGAGGGCCAGGCGGGTGGTCTTCAGTTCAGAGATGCTCTGGCTTTGAAAACTCCCCCAGACACACTTGGAGCAGGGGCTCCTGTGAAGCAGCCCCCAGAGCCAGCCCAGCACCTCTCTCTGGGATGCTCCCACATGACGGCCGAGGAGCCCCTCAGTGGTGCGGGGAGCAGGCTCCTGTCCCACAACAGCTTGTAGAAGTGAGGGAGGCTGTCTGATACCTGAGAATCCCTGGGAACCACTGGGCAAGCCCCTGATCCACCCTCTGTGCCTCCTGCTGCAGCTCACACCACTCTCAGCGAGGGCGGAGGGGGGTGTCGTGTGATGAGAATCCTCTGCGGCCTCTACGTAAGGTCGAGAGCAGCGTCCTCACTGTTTGAGGCCTCCCGATGCTCCCCGCTGAAGCCGGCTGGCCTGAACTGCAGGCTTGATGACCTGGAATGGGCCCCTGGCCTCTGGGAAGCTGCGTTGCCGCAGACTTGGCCTTTCCTCTGTCGGGAGCTGAAATGCGTGTCTGCGCCAGCGGGCTGGGGGCGGAGCAGCCAGCCTGGCCTCCGGGAAGGGTTCCTGGGGCCCAGCCATGGACTGGGCGTGCAGCCCTGCATAGCAGGCCCCCTCCTGGAGCTCCTGTCCACCCTGCCAACTGGGGCTGACTTGGTGGTCTGGGGTGTGACAGACTGGAGAAAGAACACGGCCCCCTGACCTTGGAAGCTGTCTGAGAGAGATTTCAAGGTGAGACATGGGCTGGGATTGAGTGTCCCAGTCCTGCAGAGAGAGGGGTATTGGTGTGCACTTGGAGGGTGTGGGGTCAGGACCACGGGCTCCGCAGCCTACTGCCAGGGTCCAAGTCCTGCCCTGTCACTTTCAGTTGACCTTGACCTTGGGCATGCTGCCCAATTTCTCTGTCTGTTCCCTCAGCTGGGATGGTAGTAGCACCTCCCACTCAGGCTGTCTGAGGAGTGAGTGAGTTCATGCACAGTACGAGCTCAGACCCCCAGCCTGGCAGAAGTGTCTGCAGGGGGAAAGGCCCACGATTTCAGGTGGTTTGAATATTCTTCCTTTTGCTCATCTGCACATTTGAATTTTCATTTTTGAAAAGTTAAATGGTTGTTTTGAGCATAAAACACCCGTGTGTTGCTTGCAAGGTATAAAGCGGAAAAGAAAATGAATGAAAACATCACAAAGCTGCCCGTCCATCACATGCTGACAGTGTGGCCGCTGACCGACTGCAGGGCTGGGGAGATGCAGGGAGGACTTGAGTCAGCGGGATGGGGCCCCAGTGCGGCTCCATGAGTCGGCGATATGCACATGGGCATGCAGGACACTCCTCGGCAGCGAGTGGTGAGCGGCGGGACGCTCATGGAGGGCAGTTTGGGAGGGTAGCAGGGGAGGTGGGGGGACCATGGAAGGGCCAGGTCTTAGAGGACGATATGATCTATCAGGTAGGGAGCAGTGCACGCATGTGTGCACCATGCTCAGCCCATACACACGCTCACACATGCACGTGTACACTCGGAGGCATAAACTACATGCTGTAGTAGGTTTGGAACCTAAGGGGAGACACTGGGGGAACATGTGAGGCCGGCCTCTGGGGGTGTGACACAGCAGGCAGGCAATGCTTGGGGGGTCTCTGAAACTGGAACTCAGGCTGAGAGGACATGACTTGCCCCAGCAACTTGCTGGGTCAGGTCTGGGAGGGCAGCAGTTCTTGACCAAGGGAAGTCTCAGCCCACAGTGGCCTGTGTGCAGGATTCTGGGGACAGGCTTCACCAAGTCCTCGGATCTCGACGGTGGCTCCTGAGCAGGTCAATGAGAACCACAGTGCAGGGTTCTAGAAGCTGCAAAGCCCTGTCCTGCTGTCTTGCCAGCCACTCTGGGAGGTCAGCACATGGCCCTACCCGACAGAAGGCACCCAGCCCGGAAGGTCTCCGAGGGGAAGATTGTGCATTCCTCTGCTTTCAGGCTGGAGATGTCCCCCACCCACAGGGCCAGGGGCTGCTTTGTCAGGCTGGGACGGGGGCCAGCTGAGCCCCGGGACACGCCGTCCCCTGGCCTGGCCTCCTGGAGCGGGGCCTGTGCTGGGAATGGCGTCTGACCCTGTGTTCCAAGAGGGGCTGGGGCAGTGTCCTCAGGACACAGCTGTGCCCAGATGTTCCCCGAATGACATCATCCCGAAAGTCCACCCCTTCTGCAGCAGCTCTGCTGACACAGGTGTCAGGCCCTTTTGGGGACCTATGACCCTTGGGGTAAGAGGACAGAGGCTGAGATCTGCTTGGCCTGCAGAGTTTAGGAAAAGTGTTGACTTCCTAAGGCCTCCCGGGTACACTGTGGGACTAAGAAGTTTTGTCTACAGCCCAGTCCACGGGATGCGCTTTGCTCAGGCTTGAGAAGTTAGGGGAGGTGCTGGCTTCCAGCAACAGTTCATAACTCCCTCATGACCGCCATGAACTCAGAGGTATACCGCCAGGAAGCTGTTCCTGAGTCCTCATTAGAGTGTCAATGGAAGGAGGGAAAACTGGGTTTGTGTTCAGATGTTGGCCTGGCTACTGTCTTGGGCAAGTCACACAGCTTCTCAGTGCACTGGGGTTCCCATGGTTTGGGGCTCCTTCCTGCAGTGCTTCCCAGAGGCCTTGAGATCCAGCCTGAAGGGCCAGTATGCCTCTGGAGGTGCCAAGCATCTGACTGCTGCTATTGGCCTCTGTGAAGGGGGCTCTGTAGCACCCTCCCCTCCCTCCTGTGCCTACTCCCTCTGGAATGCCCACTGTCTGAGGGCGGTGAAGTCATCAGTTTTATTCACGGCTGATCCCCAGCCTCAACCAGTGCCTGGCCTGGAGAAGCCCAACAAATATTGGATGGATGGGCAGATGGATGGGTGGGTGGATGGATGGATGGATGGATAGATGTGTGGATTGGTGGGTGGATGGATGAATGGATGGATGGATGGATGGGTGGATGAATGGGTGGATGGATGGATGGATGGATGGGTGGATGGGTGGGTGGATGGATAGATGGATGGATGGGTGGATGGGTGGATGAATGGGTGGATGGGTGGATGGATGGGTGGATGGATGGATGGATGGATGGATGGATGGGTGGATGGGTGGGTAGATGAATGGGTGGGTGGATGGATGGATGGATGGATGGGTGGATGAATGGGTGGATGGATAGATGGATGGATGGGTGGATGGGTGGGTGGATGGATGGATGGATGGATGGGTGGATGAATGGGTGGATGGATGGATGGATGGATGGGTGGGTGGGTGGGTGGATGGATGGATGGATGGGTGGATGGATGGATGGGTGGTTGGATGGGTGGATGGTTGGGTGGATGGACTGGTGGATGGATGGGTGGTTGGATGGGTGGATGGTTGGGTGGATGGATGGGTGGATGGATGGATGGATGAATGAATGAATGGGTGGGTGGATGGGTGGATGGATGGATGGGTGGTTGGATGGGTGGATGGTTGGGTGGATGGATGGGTGGATGGATGGATGGATGGATGGACAGGTGGTAGATGGATGGGAGTCTCATCTGTTGAGAGAGGCATAGGTTAAGAGCATACATCCTAGAGCCAGGCTGTCCAAGTTCTGTGGTTGGAGTCTGTGACCTTTATTGGCTATGTGACATTTAGTGCGTTATTCAACATCCCTGTGCTTCAGTTTCCTCATCTGTACAATAAGGGTAAAAGATTTCTGTTCCTATCAATACAGCCAGTTAAAAACCTCTGCCAACCCTCCCACTAACAGCAGCCTGACAGTTCTGGACAGAATAAAAGATCCCCATCCTGAACACTGTCTTCAGAGGGCTAGGAGACGCGGAGTCCTCAGGCCAGGATGGGGCAAGGTGGACCCAGAGAGGAACATGGCACATTAAAAAAACTTGCTGGCTTTGCTCTGAGGTGTGGGGGAATGAGGGCTGCTGCACCATGTCTGAAACAGAAAGCTGAACTTACTGTTTGTTAAGCCGGGAGAGCTGCCATCATGAGGTTGCCCAAGCAACTGCTGAGCCAGGCACACTTAGAAGAGTGGTGTCATGCCTGAGGAGACGCTCAGAAGGGAGTGTTTGGAGGTGGGTGGTCTTCAGCTGAGGGAGTGTTGTTCCTTCAGTGTGACTACTGCTGACAGGCTAACTGAAGTGTGTTGTCATCAGTATTGGGATGGATTTGAAGCAGGTTCTGGAATGCCTGGGTTATGATGGCCAAAGAACACTGTCTTTTCCTTTTGAATTTGGAGAATTGAAACTTTTCTATTCTCTTAGGTAAAGCAGAGCATCATTGTTTGGCTCTCTTTGGGGCTTGAGGACAGAAGACAAAGCTCAGAGCGTGGCCATGCTGGGGGGCTAACAGAAGACCACCTCCATGAATCCTGGGCTCCCACAGGCTCCCTTCAAGGTAAACTAGAAAACCCTCTGTCTTCCAGGGATTGTATCAGCACTGCCTCTCTCAAGCCATGGTGCTGACTTGAGGAGGAAAAATTCTGTAAGAATTCATAGTGATAAGTTGGCCCTCATTTCACATTGCCTAAATTACCCCCAAACCTCAAGCAAGGGGTTTTAGTTTAAAGGATTCTCAGACCGGGAGTTCCCCTGGTAAGGCAGGAGCAAAGATTCCACTTTCCAATGGAATCTGCCTGTGTCTCAGGCCTCAGGAAATTTCTACAAAGCTCTACAGCAAATGAATATTTCATGGTAAACACTGATTAAAAAGCAAGGAGACAGTTCACCAGGAGCAAATAGTAGGTGATAGAATCACACTGGCAAAACATTCAAATATTAGAAAATCAGGTCCCAAAGATAAAACAAATGTGTTTATACAAGAAATAAAAGGGAGTTGAATATATTGATAAAGGACAAGCCTACTGCTAGAAATAAAAAACATAACACTTGAATTAAAAACCAAAGGATGGTTTAACAACAGCTTAGACACAGCTAGAGAGGGCATTAGTGAACTGAAGGATGGGGCAAAAGAAATTAGAAGAAATGTACTACTGAGAGATAAAGATCTGGGAGACAGGAAAGAACACGGAGAATAGAGTGTGGAGATAAACACACGCTGATTGGAGTTCCAGAAAATGAGGAGGGGCAGAATAGGGTCAGGGGACTGTTCGAAGAGGTTTTATGCTGAAACTGACCTAGATCTAATGAAAGACAGCCACCCACTAATATAAGAAACCCAGTGAGTGTCAAGCAGGAGAAGGGATAAGGGATCCATACCTAGTCACTTCAGAGTGAAAATGCGGAACACCAAAGACCGAGGGAAGACCCGACAGAGAGAGATAAAGTATAGATCACCTTCAAAGATAATCACCCCAAGAGCTTACATTTCAGTAGCAACAAGAAGAACTTGAGAAAAGAGAAATGGTATCGAGATGCTAAGAGCAAACGACTGTCAACCCAGAAGTCCCTATCCAGCCGGAAGGGTAAAATAAAGACAGTTAGCGGGGGAGTGACCCCAGATGGAACCACGGAGGCTTCAGACAGGATGAAATCAAGGGGGTTGTGATACTCGGGGGCAAACTGGAGTCAGTAACGATGGTGGGAATGTAATGTGGGGTTTACATAAATACAGAGCAAAAGTACAAGGTGATGGCCTCAGAGTGAGGGAAGGAGCAATGGTGGTTGGGAAGTCTGAACCCTCGTGACGTTCAGGAGGAAGACAGGGACTAATTTCGTATAGACTTTGATGAGCAACCACGAAAGGGATAGAAATAGAGTGTGTACATTCCAGGAGCAGAGAGAAAAAAGAATGGAAAATCTCAGTAACCCAAACGATGGCAAGAAAGGGGAGAAAAGCACCCAGAGAAAAGGCAGAATCTACAGAAAAGACAAACTGAGATGGTAAAAATTAGTCCGAATATATTGGCAATTACAATATATAGAAACTGATAGAATGTCACAGTTAGAAGATGATTTCAGGCCAGATATAAAGGACAAAAATCTAGCTCATGTTTGTAAGAAACACATCTAAAATATAAAGATACAAAAAGACTGAAGGAAAAAATTATGCAAATATGAAGCCGGAGAGAATTGGAAAGACTATATTCACATCATAAAAACATACTGTAAGTCAAAAAAGAACTACTAGAAATAGTTCACTGACTAATGATAACAAGTTTGATTTATCGGGAAGCTTAATGTGGCTTGAATGTACCTAACGACAAAATGTCAAGCTACGTCAAGCAAAATGTAGCACCTACAAGAAATGACAAATTCGCTGTGAGAGTGGAAATGTTTTAAGAAACAGGTTTCTACACATATAATTTAAAGACTATAAATCTACTCATATTAAGTTTAATGAGTTTTTGTACTTTCACACTGTTATGTAACCCTCACTCCAATCCAGTTTTAAGATGCTTTTATCACCCCAACAGTTCACCTGGGCCACTTTGCGGCAGAGCCCTGACCCCCACCCACTGTCCCGGGCAGCTAGCCCTGTGTTCCTGTCTGTGTAGTTTTACCTCTTCCAGGAATTAGGTGATTCTGTTTATGTGATATGTTGCCTTTTTGACTCCAGCCATCCTGGTGGGTGTGAAGTGGGATCTCATTCGGGGATTTTCTGCTGATAGAATGACATTTGCTTCTCTTCCTAGACGCACTGGCCTCTCATAAATCTTTGGTGAAGTGTCTGTTGAAATCCTTCACTCATTTTTCCTTCAGTTGTTTATCTTCTTATCACTGAGTTCTGAAAGTTTACTTATATACTCTGCATATAAGCCCTGTATCATATGGCTATTTTGAAAATATTTTTTATCTTGTCAGGAAGCGGCCTGCTTCTCATCTTGGTAATTTTCCTAATGATCTCTTCCGAAGGGCAGAAGTTCTCAATTTTGATGAAGTCTAGTTTATTATTTTTTTCTTCAATGGATCTCACATTTGGTGTGGAAGCTAAGAGATGTCTGCCTAACCCGGGGTCACAGGATTTTCTCTTGTATTTTCCGCTAAAAGCTCTCTGGGTTTTTGGAGTTAATTCTGGGGTATGTTGTGAGGTAGGGTCAGGTTCCTTTTTTTTTGCATGTGGACTCTCATTTGTTCCAGCGTCCTTTGTTTTAAAGGCTGCTCTTTGCCAAGCGGGAGGCCTCAGGAATTGACAGCAGTGACTTAGCAGGGCTGCAGATGGTTAAGCGACCAGCCAGCAAGCTCAGTCTGACAGGCTCATACACAGTGCGCGGCACGAACATGCTTTTCAGGTTCCCACAGGGCATTTATGACAACTGACCACACACCAGGGCATAAGGCGAACTTAGCCAATTTCAAAGCATGGGGTCTCTCGCCTGACCTCAGTACCAGGGAGAAATCAGTGCTGGCGGCTCATGGAAAAGCTTGGAAACTCCCTTATCTGCAAATTAAAGAAGAAGACCTCATAATGGAAACCAGAACAAGGTGACCCAGTGCCCGCTGAGACGGCGGCCGAGCGAAGCAGCACCCGGAAGCCCAGAGGCTCGAGAAAGCCGGGGGTAGGTCTTTTCTCCCCCCCGGCCTCCTCTCCTTCATGCTCCTTTTCTGGGTCATGCTCTGGTTTATTTTCTGGGTGCTGCCCGCGGTCAGTCACACACCAGGCTTGGTGGGGCTGCCAGTATTCCCGGGTAGTGTGAGAGACACCGCTGCATTGGAGCAATGAACCCCACAGCCAAGACCCCAGCGCCCACGGAGCATGCAGGGCCCGGTGGCTGGGATGGCCCACAGTCAAGTTCCCCACCGCGCCATCAGACAGAAGGACAAGCGGGCCGTGGGGGCCCGAAGCGAACGGGGTTGGATCTCAGCTCTGTCAGCACAAGGTCTCAGGCACACCGGCTCTTCACTGAGCTTGTTTTCCAGCCTGTGCAGTGGGGACAGCCACGATGCCACGATTCATCAGGATGAGGAGGGGATCACAGGTGTGAGAGCCCCGCCCAGGCGATAGAGTCCATCACAGGTGATCCTGGCGATTGTTGGGCATGGGCATCATGGGGCTCAGCAGAGAAGGGTACACATGCACAGAAGGGACGAGCCAGCCCTTGCTGGCCCCTTAAGTTGCCTTTCGTGCCGACGTCTGGGGCTCTGCTCTTTTGTGATTTCTGGAGCTCGCTACAGATCACCCTGTCCCTCTGCCCTCCTCTCCTACTGCTGGAAGTCAGGGCTGTTGATCTGAGGCCCGTAGCTTGCTGGAGCCCGAGGCGGCAGCAGGCGCTTATCAGCTGCTGCTCTGAGGCTGGCCTCTGCGGTGCGGGGGGTGGGGGGCTCTGCCAAACTTCTTCCAGATGTGGCCACAGCTACCTGATAGCCTGGCTCTGGCTGAGGCCCGCAGCCAGCAGGCTCCTGTTAGCTGAGCCGTTTAGGAAAACAAAACCCAGTGATGGCACGAGAGGCCCAACTTCTTGGAAGGCAGAGAAAGGAGTGGCTGGGCTGGCGCACGGTCCCAGGCCCAGAGAGCCAGGTCTGCCCAGCCTGGCCCTGAGCTTGGGGTGGTCACAGCCATCTGCTGGCTGCCTCCTGGGGGGCTCAGTCTCCCAGCCTACAGGGGCTCCCCGGGGCTGGATATTCACTGTGTATGAGGGTGGGGGATTCAGGAGCCCTCTCCTGCTCGCCTGTCCAAGATGGTCACTTGTGTATATGGCGCTGATTTGCGGTGTATTGAGGTCCCATGCATCTCGGCCGGCCTTTCTGAGCCAGGGCTGCCTTGCCTGACCCCATCCCCTGTCTCCTTCCTTTGTCTCTGCTACCCCCAGTGGACTGTGCGAGGCTGGAGGCAGAACCCACGTATGGCTGGCTCCCGGTGAATCCTTGGGGTTGGGAAAGCTGCTTGGCACTCAGTGACCACTCAGGAAGGAGGTGGTGTTCAAGCTGGCCCCTTGCTTCCTGCTAGGCCAGGCCAGCCTCAGGGGAAGACAGAAAGCCCCAGAGAAGAGCAGGTGTCCTGACGCTGAGGCGGGGACGTCCCCAAGCCCTGTAACATGCACACTGCAATCCGGAGGCCAGCACACGTCTGCCTCTGAGGTCCTGTTCACATGTTCAGGTGACCTCGAACCCTCCCTCTCTGAGGGAGGTGGGAGAAGAGCCCAAGCAGCCTCCCCCTTCCTCCACGCTCAGACCTTGAACACACCAGGCACACCCCTCTCTCTCCTGTCCTGGAACACGTGCCAGTGGCACAGGTGAGGAGAGTTGTCTGTCGGCCCCTCCTCTCCACGGGGGCAGAGTGGTGGTTGCTCTGACGGGAAGGTTGCCAGAGGTTGCGGGGAGGTTCAGGGACCGAGGGCCATCGGACTCAGGACCGTGGAATCTGAACTGTCACAGACGAGGCGCCTGGCGGCTTACATGGTTCAGTCTGCTTTGCTTTTCTGGTTTCAGTCTCAAACCTGCCTCTTCCAGACAGCCTTCCTTGCTTGCTTCCTTGATCCATCATTCGTCATCCATCAGATACGCTTGATTTGAAGCATACTGTTTCTTTGGCAAATGGGGGTGTTCGGTGCTGTGACCGGGGTGAATGCCCCCTGACAGTAAGGGCCCTCTAGAACACTCCAGAGTCTACCTTGCTTGCCTATGACCACTGATAATGAAAATAATAAAGATGCCATTTTTTAGATGTCATTTAAAAAATACCATGCTGAGCGCTTTGTATTCGCTTATCTCATGCAATCCTGGCAGTGCCCACAGGAAGTGGGCACCATCACATATGGCAAACTGAGGCTGAGAGAACAGAACACAGGGAGCTTGCGGCGGCCGCAGAGGGCCAGCTGCGGCTCAGGCGTTTCCTCTCCTGGGCCCCTGATGCCTCCCCCACCCTGGCCGCTGGCCTCCTCTGCCTTGTTCACTTCCTCAGGACCTTTCTGGTTCAGCCAGCCTCCGACTCGATTGGCCCTAACAGGCCGGACTGGGGCAGTGGATGAGGCTGCCATTCCATCAAAGGTGAGGAAACCAGGTGCAGAGGTGGGAAGTGTGGACCCAGACCGGGGGCCGTGGGGGTGGCCAGGGTGGCGGCCGGGTGCCTGGGCAGCAGTGCCCTGTGCAGCCACGAACCATGCTGGTCAGCAAGCTCCGCTAACCCGCAGCAGCTGCCCAGCGAGCCTAGTGCAGGCCTGGGGCTTCCTGCCACCTGCGCAGGCCTTGCCCGCCTGCCTGGCCCTCCTCCCTGCAGGCCCTCCGGCCAAGCCCCTGCGGCGGCGGGGAGCCGAGAATTCCTGCAGCAGCGCCCCGCAGGCCTGCCCTAACTGCAAGCACAGCTCCAGAGCAAGTCGGCACAGGCAGATGGGGAGCTGTTAAGCCTGTTTAAAAGGGGCAATAAAAGTTTTGGGTTTCAGATGCTCTTACCGGAGATGAGAACAGAGACAGGAAATTTCAGTAGCAGATATAACAGAGGCCACGCACAGAGACAGCCCGGGCGAAAACTCTTCATGCACAAACAGAGGATGTCTTGCCAGGGGCCGTGCCAGCCTCACCCCAGCTCCAAGGAGGGGGAGGGGCATCTGCAATAGACTGTTTTGTCTGCATTTCTGATGTTTATAATACTTCTCCGTTTGGGCCACTGGAGGTACCAGCTGGGTTCCAAGGGCATGTGCGCGGGGAGGGAGTGTGGCACGGGCCGGCGTTGGCTGCCTCTGCCTCTCGCTCTGCGGGGCCTGTAAGCCAGGCCATGGCTGGGAAGGCTGCAGTGGGGCCTGTGTCTGCCCCACCCCCGGTTCAGAAAGGGTCCGGTATGGGGGGGAACACACCACCCCCACCCCCACGCCCTGTGTACTGGGCGCTGCAGCCCCTCTACCTGTGTCTTGGTTTAACCCAGGACCCCCAGACCCACATGTCCAGGGAGCCGGGCCATTCCTCTTGTTTCCTGCAGATGTGCAGACCCCTGCAGTAGCTGTTAACCATCGGGGTAGGCTTGCCTGGCAAAACCCAGGGCACCGAGTCAAATTGGAATTTCAGATCAACAGTGAATCATTTTTTGGTGTAGGTATGTCTCAAGTAAATATACCCCATATATTATTGCATGGGACATTTGTAGGTGAAAGAGTTATTTATTGTTTAGTTGAAATTCAAATGTAACCGGGCATCCTGTATGTTATCTGTAACCTATGGCTGCTTCAATTTAAATGAACTAAAATCAACTGCCACTTAAAGATGTGGTGCCTCGGTTGTACCAGTCACATATCACATGCTTGGTGGCCAGGGGCAGCAGGCAGCTGCCACACTGGGTGGCCCTAGCACCTCCATGGCAGAGAACTAGGCGGGGCTTCTGGTAACATCCAGGACAATGTTCTCACCGGAGGAAATCTCGGGACTCATGTCCCTAGTGCCCTGGGGCTGGGACGGGGATCCCTCTGGAGCCCAACGGGGCTGGGGTGACCTTGGAGGCCTTTGCCGGCACAGGTGCCATGAATCATGGACCGGGGCTCAAGGACATGTGGACTCGGAGGCATTTGATTCGGACGCTATCATACTTCTTCCCTGTTAGTCCTGAGGCGTTCGGGTGGCCGTTCTGGGTGGCCCTGCTGCCTTGCTGTCCCCTTCTGGGCACTTCCCTCCTGCCTCTTGGGTAGAGCCCCCAGGATGATAAAATGGGTCTTCCAGGCAGAGGAAGAGGTCTCTGGGATGAGGGGCAGGATCGGCACCACCACCAACCCAGCTGCCAGTGTCCGAGGGGCGAGGGCCCTCGGTGTCCCATCTGCAAAGCGGGGTCTCTGTGGGGCTGACGCTGCTTAGGAGGGGCACAGTGGGCCTGGAGACCGAGCGGCGGACAGGGCTGAGGGCTGGAGCACCACTCCTAATTGTCCATGACTTGCAGACTTGGCTGTCCTCCCAGACAGCCTCACAGATCAGCGCGGCCACAGTGAGTAGCCCTTACACGCTTGGCAGGCCCCTCGCCTCCTCCCTGGTTGGGAGCATCCCACGGCCTCCAAGTTTCCATGCGCTGTTGCAGAGCCGGGAGCTGGGGCATGCTGCCTGTGGGGGGCAAGGGGAGTGGAGGGGCTGGTGGGGCGGAGGGGAGGTGGTGAGGGGCAGAGGCCGGCCAGCTTGCAGATGGCTGCTTCTGGAGCAATGCCTTCAGGCCGTCCCTCTGCCCCCAAGTCTTCCCCTCTCCTTGTGGAGGTGGAGACGGGGCTGGAGTGGAACGCTGGGCCCGGGAGGCCCTGTCTCCTCACCGTGTGTGTGTGGTGTGTATGTGTGCCTGCGTGTGTGTGTGCACCCCCTCAACCAGACCAGAAGCTAATGGAGGCAGCACCTGCCCTGCCCTCTGTCGGGGCACAGGGGCCCTGTTTCCATGCCCTCTCCCTGTGGAGGGGACACAACATGTGGGGTCTCGACTTCCTCATTGGAGGGATGATGCACCCACTCTCCAGGTCCTGGCAAAGGCCTTGAGCTGGCGTGAGAAGCTGATGGGCTGCTCTGTCATTAACGGGCTCTCGGGGCAGCAAGGGGCTGAGCCAGGGTGAAGCTGTGGGTGTCCAGGCCCCTAGATGGGGACCTTGGACAGTCAGTGAGTCCAATAGATGGGGGCACTGGCCAAGGGGTCCACCTTATCCCCAGCCCTGGAGCGCTGGAGCCAGCTGCCTCCTGGCTCCCTGAGAGTGCAGCGGTGACGTTGGGACACAGCAGGCTGCCCCATCCGATAGGAGTGGGTGTGGGTAACTAGGTGCAGACAGGTGCAGGTAACTTCCTCCCTGACAGATCCGGGGAGCCCGGGGAGCCAGGGCTGCGGCCAGGTGGGGGTTTGTGAGGTGATGTCTGGGAGGCCCCCTCCTGCTACCCCCTAGGGCCGGGCACAGACAGGCTCTGGACGGGAGCAGATTGACCTTTCACCACTCTACAGTGAGCCCTGTCCCAGGGGCCCAGCTGTGGACCCTGTGGCCTCTGCTCCATGTCCACGCTGGGGGCCATGGGCAGGGCGGGAGGTGGGGGTGGACGGTGAGCTGAGGCCTAGCTCTGCGCTCCCACTCTGGGCCTTGAGCACACTGGGCACCCGGAGCCTGGGGCTTCTGTCTGTGCTGTGGGGATGGCCACCCCTCACTGCAGACCTGCTCTAAGAATTAGATGAAGTGACTGACATAAAGTGATTGGTGCACAGGAAGGCCAGTGTGGTGGGGACCTTCCAGTCAGCTGTTAGTATTGAAATGGCTTGATTCAGGGACCCTGCTGGGGGGACAGCCAGGGGGTAGGCAGGCCTGGGCCAGGGACAGAGCTGATCACACCGGCCTGGCTCCCTAAATGGGTGCATTCAGAGTCTGAGGGCACAGGACCCAAGTGGTGATACCTGTTTCCAAGAGAAAACAGGTGGGTGAGGAGCACACGGACCAGGGAGGTGGGCAGAGCCTCTCTGTGCCGGGGCTGGCCTGGGACTCCGGGTGATGAGGGGGGGTAGGTAAGGGGACAGACACCGGCTCCAGGGCTGGCAGACACCCCTGCCCGTCATGGCCTCGGCCTCGGGGCACAGGGAAGGGAGCTCTTCCTTTCAGTGTGGTCTCCCAGCACGAACCTACTAAGTGGGTTCTCGCGAAGCACTCAGCCGGATGCTTCCCGAATCTGGGACTTCCTGGGATCCACATCCCCTGGGGCGGGGAAGGACAGGAGGACTTTCTCCAGGCGTGCGAGAGGGGTGGGGGCCAGGGGCTAGGAGCGGCAGGGAGGGTTGACGTGGGTGCAAAGTCAGACACAAGCACAGCAAAGGCTGGAGCAGTCCAGCTTGGCCGGGGTCCCTGCACTCCCAGCCTTCCTGTTGACCTTGGGCAGCAGCAAGGTGAAGGACATGGCCAGGGCACAGTGGTAGAAGCTGTGGACGTAGGTGTAGTCCCAATCCTGCAGGGGGTGAGAGGTCCATCTGTGGCCTGAGCCCCCTCCCGGAAGCCCCAGCCCCTGCCCCAGGCCTGGTGAGCGGGACACCTGCCAGGACCCTGTTCCCGTCCTGGGGAGCCTGGCCAGGCGCCCTCCTCCAAGGGCCCCCCTCACTGCCTAGCCCACTGCTTGGATCTTTCCTACCACCAAACCTCTACCGCATGAAGCTCTGGGCCTTGACAGTGAGGCTGGGCCATTTCCCCTGGGGCCCCCACACCATCTCCCTATTCTTGACCTCCCTCACCACTCCTTCCCCGTCCCCTTTGGGGCTTGGTTTCTCATCTAGATACAAGCTGGCTGCATGACCTCAAAGCCACACAGCAAGTCCCCGGGGGGCAGGGTCAGGGGGATGCTCTGCCTAGAGGGAGGTACCCCAACTGCTGCCCGGGAGGCAAAGAGTGAATAGGAGGGTGACATGCCGAAGCCCCCACCCCACAAAAAGGCCGTTCACCCACCCTGAGCAAGTGCTGAAGTGGACCTGCATGCACGGGGCCCGGCTGGTACCTCGAAGAAGAAGCGAAGCATCAGGGCCAAGGCCCCGAAACAGAGGCCGGGGCCTATCTGCTGGGTGTAGACAGTCTTGTCCGGGTACAGACCCTTCTTCTCCTTCATCTGCTGCAGCTGTGGGGACATGGAGGCAGGGCAGCTCTCAGGGTGCTGCATGGGGTCGGCTGCCCTGAGCAGGCTGGGACGCTGGCCTGGGTCTTCCTTGGGTGGGAGATGGACTCAGGGGGGTGTCCCACTGTGCTCAGCTCTGCGGCTGCAGGACCAGAGGGGACCCCAGCCGGGATGACACCCCTGCCCTGCCTGCCTCTGTGTGGTGTGACAAAGCCGAGCCTGCTCATGTCCCAGCCAGTGGGAGCCCCGAGGGCATTAGACACAGTGATTATTTACAGCAAAGGGGTGTCATTGGACGTGGCCTCCAGTGTGGCCCACAGGTTGCCTGGATGGTGGCCTGAGAGACCCTTTAGCTGCTTTCATAGGTAACAGACTCATCGTAGTACTTATTAGACAAGCCGGACCAGCACGTTAGACCTGTAAAGTTCAGGTGGGAATTCATGCCTGATAAGACGGTTCACACTGGAAAAAGGAAGTGAGTGCGGCTGCACACCTCGGGGCCATTGGCGTACAGGGGGTTTGGATTTCAGGGAGAGAGAGACCGCGGTGTGCGAGGAGGCCCCACGGTCGGCACAAACCCTCCCAGGGGAGCACGTAAGGACTGTGAGAAGCGTCAGGGCAGCTTCTGCCACCACGTGAATCAGGAAAGAAAGCCTGGTTTCTGTTTTCTGGAATTCGCCATTGCGGATGGGGAATCGGCATCTGCCACAGAGCAGGCAGCGCTCTGCGGTATGGCTCGTGTCGCCTGGGGCGCCGGTGGCTGCAGCCCGGGAAGCCCTCAGCCAGCCACGCCCACACCTTCAGATCAGATCAGGGGCGCCTGCCCTGGTGGCGCCCGGTGGTGCCCCAGCCTGGCCCTGCCTGGCTGACGTATCACCCCGATCACCCCGCCGCTCTCTGCTTCCTCCCTCTGACAGTTGCTGTTGGCGATTTGCTGCTTGCAGCTCCAGAAGGGAAGAGCCTCTGGGAGAAAAATGCACCCTCATTCCAGAAAACAACTGCCCTTGAAAATCCAAAATAAACTGCATGTTAAATGGTCTAGAAAACACAATTGGAGCCCCAGATGTTGGGAGCCAGGCAGCCCGCTGGGTTCCTGTGGCCGGAACCACAGCCCGAGGGCCATGGAAGTTCCCATGTGCTTGGTGGGGACACTAGCAAGTGACTTCTGCTCTGGCTAATTAAAACCCAGCCCAGATTCCAACCTGACCAAGCTCTGCAGGGAGAGCGCCTCCTAAGGGGGCGAGGAACAGGGGGCCTCCTTCCTCCTCCTGCGGGCTGAGCGCAGCGTCAGGCCCAGCTCCCAGCTGACCTGTAACAGCGTGCTCATTGGCACGGCCCTCCCTCGGGTGCCCACGGCAGCCCTCCTCTCTCACACAGCCTTGAGGGGCCTCCTGGGCCAGCCCGGGCCGCCAGTGCCCAGCGAGGAACCATCAGTGCTGGAGACCCGGACTCAGTGCTTTGATGCTCATGAGAAGTCATGTCTTCCCGTTGACTGTGCACCACATCCTCCCTCGTTATTAGAACCAAGCTCATGGATCAACTCCTCCATTGAGTCTTCCAGATTGACCCAGGCCATTTCCAATGGATTTTGCATCTCCAAAGCAGTCATTCTCTTCAACAACAATAATAGTAATAATGATAATGATAATAAAATGACTCCTATTTGTTGAGCACATTAGAAGCCAAGCATGTACTTTAGAGGCATGATCTCAGTTAGTTTTGGAGCCAGCCCTATGAGGGAGCTGCTGGACTGTTCCTGCGACACCCACTTTACAGGTGTGGAAACTGAGGCTGGGTTAGGTCAGTGAGCACAGGCATGGTACAGACCATGACAGGGGCACCCAGGGGCCATTCTCTGTGTTTTTGACCTGAAGCCCTGTCTCTGACCTGCCTGCCCAGGAGGCAGAAGGAAGCACAGACCCGAGGTGGGGGAAGCAGGGTCCGGGGAGGGCCTCCCTGTCTGCTGAGGCCCATAGGTACGCACCCACTTTGCCGCAATGATGAGGACAGCTGTGCCAATGGGGCCTGAGTACACCCCGTAGCCCCAGCGGTCATGGTAGATGCGCACCGCGATGGTCAGGACGCCAAACATCATGCAAGTTGACCTCTTGGGTTCGTCGAAGTCGGCCAGTGCTGGAGGGACCGGGCAGAGAGACGGGGAGGGTGAGTGGCCGCTGCTCCCCGAGAGGCGTCCCTTAGAGGCCCAAGTAGAGCGCCCCCTCTGCCCGCCTGGCCACCCAGAGGTCTGAATTCCAGCTGGCTTTAAAAGAAAGGAAGACACTGCTCTCCCATGGTCGGAACAACTTTGATTATGCTCTTGGGAAGCTGCTTTAATAACCAGATCAATGTGCAAGGACTGAGAGTGAATCCTAGACTTCTAGGATGGAGACACAGACACACTCAGACTGCAGAAAGGGCCTGGCCAAAAAGCCACAAGGCAGTGGCAGGTGGACAAAAGGATGCTTCTGAATGACCCCTTCTTCCTAAAAAACCCAACCAAAGATTATGCGTGGACGTTTGTGTGGGCCTGAAGAAAAGCCTCGGGGCAGACCGTGAACTGTGGACAGTGATTCCCCAGGGAAGTGGAGGCATGACATCCATTTTTCCCTTTGTCTGCTCTTTGAGGTTTATTTGTCACAACAAGCCTTTATTAAACGTGTACTTTTAAAAGGATACAAAAAATGGGAGTCAGGGCCTTGAAGAGCTGTATATGCTTTCTCAAGAATTAAGTGTGGCTCTGAGTCCCTGCAGAGGGGAGGAGGGTTTCAGAGGTGGGGAACTGGGAGCAGAGTCATGGGGCTCTGCTTTTTTGGCCGGTGGTTGGCTGGGGAGCTGGACCCCATCGGCAGGGCTGGGCTACGAGGGGCGGCCACTCACCCATCAGAGACACCCACATGCTCAGGGCTGTCCCGTAGACGCTGAAGTACTCCAGGATGTCCTGGCGCATGAGGCACAGCACCGAGAGCCCCGGCCCGTTGCACGCGTGGTAGAGCTGTGGGAAGACGCACACGCGGTCAGTGGGTGGGCAGCACTGAGCTATGGCCCCAGGGAGCCAGGCCACTCACTAGCTGTGAGCCCTTGGGCAGATCACCTAAGGACTCCATGCCTCAGTTTCCCCATCTGGCAAATGGGGGTATTGCTGACTGCTCCCCTCACGGGGTAAGTGGCCTGGGATGTGCAAGGGGCCCAGTCATGTCTCTCATTTTCTCTGACATGACAGGGAGGAAGCTTGGTGGCATGCAGACAGAGCCCGCTGAGGTGGGGAGCCCTGACGTGATTAACACATCCCTCTGGGCGTTCCTGGCCATTCCTTCACCCACCACTGGATGGGAGGCCAGAGCCTCTTCTCTGGGGGCCAGTCTGCTCGTCTGGGGCGTGGGGCTGTCTCCTCCACAATGCATCCTCTGACAACTGGGCTGCACCACAGTGGAAGTCCTCAGACTCGAGTGGGCCTCAGCTTGTGGAGACCTGTGGCTGAGCCCACTCTGACAGGTGCTGACTCAGCAGGTCTGGGGTGGGTCTCAGATCTGTGTTTTTAAGAGGGTCTCGGGCAGATGCCACGTGGTTTTCAGAACCAACGCCTGCAGCTTCCTGCCCTCTTCTTTACAGTCCAGGAAGGCCACAGAGATCCCTGTGCAGGTGCTGACAGCAGTGTGCTAGGCCCACCCATCTCCCCAATGCTCCCCGACACTAATTTAATAGCAATTTTTAAAGCAAAGTGCCTACATGGAGTATTTTCAGAGCAGTCAACTTGTTTCATACAGAAAACAACTCTCCCTTTTTGCATACACATTTCATCATTTTAAGTAATATTTAATTATGTGACGTAATTGTTTGGACAAGTCTTGCAGGCACAAACAAGCTTGGGAACCAGCACAATCGACCCTTGGTGAGCCCAGCGCAGCAAGAGGGCGGATGCCTGCAGGGGAGCAGCCCGAAGCCAGGAGGCACCTGATGGGTCAGACACTCTGGGGCCGGGTTAGAGCTCCTGCTGGTCACGACTGTAGGTGACCTAAAGCGAACGCGCACCTAGGAGGCATTAGCAGATAGAGTTTCCAGAACAAGGGAGGAGATGGTCCTCTTTCTTTCTGTTCAGGTCAGACCCACCTAGAGAACTCTGTTGAAGTCTGGCTACTGCACCCTTCGGAGTGATGTTGGCAAAAAGGAGGCTAGAGGAGAGTAACCAGGCTGTGGACATGACTGTTTAGTTTGGTAAAATGAAGCTTCAGGTGGGGCCTGATCAAGGTGTTCAAATCTCTGTGGGACAGAGGAGGGAGGACCTTGCTTCCCTTGGCACTGGCAGTCAGAGCCATGCCCTGTGAGCAGTGTGACGCTTTCCTGCCCTCCTCTCCTTCCAGACCTCCACCTCCCCACCCCCAGCCCAGCCTCACCATCGTTTCTGCTTCTCCTTTGTTAGCACCACATGTGGTCACAGACTGACTCACTACGAGGTTCAGGGAGTGTCCGTGCCCTGCCCCCGTCAGGAGCAGGAATCCTCCGGCCTCATTCCATCTGCGGCCCCAGCTCCCCGTGCAAAGCTGGCTCACAGTTGAGGCTCACTCACCATTTGCTGTGTGAATGCAGGGGCAGGGGGGCAGGGTTCAGGGCAGTTTGAAGGAGAGATGGCCAATGGGGGTGTCTCCTGCCAAGCCCTTGGTTCGGCTCTGTTGGGCAGGCGGGGAAGGTGAGAGTCAGGACAGTGCCACCCGCCCAGGAGGCAGGGGACTGCGGAGCGAGATGGGTATCTGGCCTCCTCTCCTGCAGGGCCTCCCCCAGCTCCTGACGCAGGGGCAGCTGGGGGCCTGGGGTGGGGGACGGCACAGCCTCTGAGGCCCACCGGCAGGCCTCGCTGTGTGAGCTCAGGAAGTGGCTGGTGCTTGGGGCCCCTCTGTTGGGTAGGAACGAGAACACCCACTCTGCGGGCCAGGCCCGGGGACATGTGACAAAGCGCACAGTGCATCCTAGGAGAGTCCTAGGAGAGTCCTGGGAACCCAGAAGAGGCTGTGGGGAGGCAGAATGTGTGACGGTGCCGCCTGGGGCGCTGGGAGAAAGGGCAGTGTGGTTCTGAGGACACTTGTCACAGGAGGCAGCTGGCCCTGCCACTCAGGGCAGGGCGGGCCCCTGAGGCTGGCCATGGAGGCGGCTGTGGAGCCGGCCTAGCCTGGCAGGGCTGGGCGGCCTATGGGGCCTGTGGCTTCCTGGGCGGGGCCCGTGCTGGGTGGGGGGCCAAGAGCCCGGGCTCCTCTGCCCAGCATCCAGGCCCCAGTTCCTGCACAGAAGTCCCGAGGCCCCTCTGCCTCAGCGTGTCTTCTGCCACAGTTGACTTCCTGGCCTCCACCCAAGTGGGGGTCCCCCGAGGAGCATGTGGAATGGTGCGGGACAGAGTGCCTTGAATGACTGGGAGCTCAAGGACGTGTTGGTGCTTAGTCACACCAGTGACTTGACTTCTCTATTTTCATCTTTCAACTCAGGCTCTTCATCTTTCAAATGGGTCTGTCACAGTCTCAGGCTCATGGGGAGCCGAGAAGACTAAATCAGATGCTGATAGAGCCCCCGGGAAGTCTCCTAGTCTGGACATTGTCTCATGGCCAGCACCACTGAGGCTAAGGTCTCTCCCACCCTGAGGAGAAGACCAAAGCCGTGTGTAATCCGGCGTCTCAAGGCCCAGCCTGCCCTAGGTTACTGCTGCCTGTGGGGAAAACTGGCTCACATGCACACACAGCCTCTCCCACTGCGAGCTTGGGTTCAGCCAGTGAGGATGTGGTCACTATACGCGGACACACACGTCTGCCGAACCATGTGCATTTTCAAAGACCTCACCTCCCGGGGCTGCTCTGAGTCCCCTGTTGCCTGCCCACAGAGGCCCTGCTGTGGGAGCGAGGCCGGCCCGGGGTGGGTGGCACACTCGGCCTCATGTATGGCAGTGCCACAAGAGTCTGGGGGAACGCTTGACCCCCCGGTGCGTGCTTCTCTCGGGAAATTGGGTCCAAACGAAGGATGAGCATGGGCAGAGATGACAGAGGGAACATCGGGAGAGCAAAGAAGAGAGTGGGGCCACCGTGGGAGCCCGGCAGTGAGGGTGGGCGGGGGAGACCCGAGACGCAGAGGCAGGACAGCACTTCCACGCAGACGGACGGTGCGTGGACAATTGCTTAGAGTTACGTAGACAGACGGAAGCTAGAGGCTGGACAGACAGAGCCCGAGAGACACATGGAGGACCAGGGGAACAAAGCCAGAGGGAGAGAAATCAAGAGACTTAGAAAGAGGGCAGATTCTATGGGGATATAGCTCCAGAAGTCAAAAGAACCCGACACAGACAGAGAAAAAGAAAAAAAAAAAAAGACACACAGAAAACCAGTAAGAGAAACTTAGAGGGAAAGTGACTCACAGGGAATCGGTGAGGGGGAGAGAGAAGGAACACCAAGAGACAGTCACCCAGATATAAATAGAGAGAGAAGGAAAGACCCGGAAAGCCGAAAGGCCCCAGAAATGGAGGCAGGCCCTCCGCGGTGAGGCCGGCCCTGGAATCCTGGTCCGACTTGCCCAGGCCTTGCGTATTCCCTGAACCCCACAAACCCCCTGCTGGGCCCAGCCCACCCTGTTCCTCCCTGCTAAGCTGCCCTATGTGTATGGCAGGGTCAGGGGGGTGGGCGTGGCGCATGGTGACCTCGGGCGGTTGGCCAGTGGCAAGAAAAGGGACCCCGAAAGGGCTTGTCCTGGACGATTGAGCCTGGCCCATCCGGGGCTTGGCCTCACTCACACCATCCGAGAGAGACTTCCCGGCACAGACGGAGACACTGAGGTCCAGAGGGGAGGAGGGGGTTCCCCATCCCTCTCTCCTGGTGACTGGGCTCCGTCTGTCACCTCCAAATCACTTTTCTTACAGGAAAAGTGGTAGAAAGTCATCCCGTCTTCTGTCCCTGGGAGCGCGCCCTGTGTGGGTCCCCCCTGCCCTGGGGCCCCAGACTCACCGCCACGAAGAACATGGTGAAAAGGTAGACCATGGCCTCCATGTGGAACCGCCTCTTGGCGGCGATGCTGATGGTGGGGAGGAAGGCCAGGCTGCTGAGGGTGGGCAGGAGCAGTTTGGCCACAAGCGTCCCCATGGGCTGGGCAGCCAGGCACTGCCTGGGGCAGAGGGGAGAGTGCAGGCCTTCTGGGTCCCCAGGGCAGAAAGGGAGAAGGCTGCTCCCTTCAGCAGGAGCTCTGATGGCAGCTGTGGTTTAACTGCCCTGGAGAGAGGCAGGGATATGAACCCATATGTCGAGCAGCACAAGAGGGTCCAACAGCTGATGTGCCACGTGATCGGCACTTGTCCCTGGTTTTTTTTGGAGAGGCCTGAGTTGTTGATTCAGAGACCATATGTCTTTCCTCTGAGGCACCACCCTTGGAGAAAAGTCCCACGAGTGTAATCCTCAGCTTCTACCCGTTTTCCCTCCTGGCCTCCCCACAGGGCCCTCAGGGGCCCAGAGTGAGCAGACCCCTGGGCTTTGCGCTTGAGGCATGTCCACGGGTAGCTGGAGGCGAGAGAAGCTGAGGCGTAGCCATTTCTATCCACTGGAAGGGCCCTACAGGTGAGTTTCACAGGTCACCAGCCCACAAGCACTACTTACCGGCCTGCCCTCTCCCCGCACAGGCCAGACTGAAGTGACCCGGCCAGGGCCATCTCTGCTAGCGTTCCCATGCAAGGCGGTGCTTGCCTCGCGGTGTTTCTTGGCTGGTCTTCCGGAAACGACCTTCCCCTGCTGCAAGAGGTCCCGGGACCTGTGTGGTCAGGTGCCCCCCTATCCTCTGGCCAAGGAATGATGGGAGTGTGTGACCTACCCAGGCAGGCCTCTCTCCCTGGACTGATAGTGTGATTAACAAGATAGATGGATTGATTTGCTGTCTCCAAAAGAACAGCCTTTACTTCCATTTTTCATCATATAATTCACATATGACAAAATGCGCAGATGTACAGGACAGTTTGATGGGTTTGGAAAAACACACACACCATATGACCACCACAGTGTCCCCCTCATCCAAGGACGTGCCCTATGCAGTGAGTGTCCCCAGCCACACACCTGCCTTTGCTTGCTTTAGAACTCCATGGAATTGGGCAGATGCTTTCTTTGGGTCTGGCTTCTTTTGTTTCAGCCACAGAACATTCCAGGGATTGCCCCGCATCGCATCGTGTCAAGTGGCTGATTCCTTTGGTTGCTGGGTGGGAAGTATTCCACCCCCGGGGGTACGTCTTGCTTTTGTTCCTGGGACCTGGAATCTGCGCGTGGGGGCGGCAGGAGTGACCGAGTGGTGCTGTCGCATCTGAGCACCTCTCCTGTCCTCTGGGAGCTCACACACACCTTTCCAGAAATTTTGTTTTTGTCTTAAGTTTCCTGAGCCCATTTCTGCTGTTTGTACAATACATCTGATCATGTCATTCTTCTGCTGAAATGCCTTCCAGGGCACCTGCAGTCTTCAGGGTGAAGTCTGAGCTCTTGGAGACCGCCAGTCCACCCACGGCGCAGCCCTGCTCGCCCCAGAGCGCACCCCCATCTCCAGCACATGCTCAGATCCTGCCTTTCTTCCTCCTGCCTACTCCCTGCAAGAACGGACTCCCTCCTTTGTTCTGGTCGATGCCTGGCTCACTCCAGCTGCTGCTGCCTAAACAGCACGTCTGTGGGGAGTCTTCCCTCGTGCCCTGGGCCCCTGGGCAGGCTGAGGTGCTCCTAAGCTGGGCCCAAGTCTGGCCCAGTGTTCAACAAACACTGGCTGAATGAATGACTTTGTTAAAGAATGAATGAAAGTCCAGGGCGGTGGGACCGCTGCACATTTCAGTCTGGCACGTGGGAGCCCAGCTCCCTCTCCAAACGGGGAAACCAGATCCCGCTGTGTGTGCAGATTTGGGTAAGAGGCAGGCAACCCACCATGGGCCCCCCAGAGTCCCTGAGGATCCCGTCCACCTCTCCGCCCCTTGGAGGTGCCTGCTCGGACCCAGTCCCCTGGCCCCCAGCCCCCAGCCTTAGCTCCCAGTAGGAGGAGAAAATGTGTGGTGAGGAAATGTGATTAGATGTCAGGTGCTAGGAGAGCACTCTCTGCAGCCATAACCGTGGAGAAGCAGGAAAACATTCCATAGTTGGTTCTGTGCATGAGTGTGTGTGTGTTTTCTTTGCAGCTGTAAACTCCAGGGCTGGGGCTGCAAGCATGGGGAAGGGGTGCCCGGAGGCACACATGTTGCAGCAATTAAGGCAGAAGGGGGCTGAGGGGGACTGCCCCCAGGTGGCTGGGCCTGGGGCAGCCCCAGGGGCCCTTGCAGAAAGGCTGAACCCGCCAAGTGCAGAACAGAGGTGGGGGCAGCCTGTGTGTGGCTGCCGTCCGAGACCTGGCCGCCTGGAGACAGACCAGCTGGCTTGGGGGAAGGCGTCCAGCTCTGAACAGGACTGAAATGACCCTCGGTTCTCCCTGGACCAGGGAAAGTGGTTGGCCTGGGGAGCTGGGAAGGGGAGGTTGAGTGGAAGAGAGGGGCTGGTGGCTCTGGGGGTGTTGGCTGGGCTGGGAGCCCACTGACCCTGGGCAGGCCCTGAGCCAGCAGAGAGCATGTTGGCACCCCGTCCTTCCCACCCTCCTTCGGCCTCCACCTGCCAGCCCTCCATCATCCCCCTTGCCCCACCCACCCCTCACCTGTTGGAGTTCCACCTCATCAGCCTGCCAGGACGCCCTCACCGTGCTCGTCTCCCCAGTTCATACTGTAGCCCTTAGCCTTTTCTGACCCCCAGTGGGGGCGGCCTCTCCCTCCTGACCCCCACTGCACTGTGTGTCTTGAAAACCACTCACATGCAGACATTTATTTCGTGCCGGCCATGAGCGGGGCCCTGTGCCGAGCTCTCTTCCTTCTTTGTCCTGTTAGGTCCTGTCAGCAGGGGGTGGGGGTGGATGCCTCTGTCCAGCCCATTTTATAGTGAGGAGATGGAGGCCCAGGGAGGAGTGGACACTGGCTGCTGCCACAGGTGCCCCTGCAGAGTGAGCTGTCTCAGAACTGCTCTGCCTACCCCCCCAGCCTGCACGGCATCCCTCCTCTGCCCAGCAGATGGCGCCAGTCCCAATGGGACCCTAGGGGGCTGGTCCCCATGGGTTGGCCTGGGGGAGGGAGCAGACCTGCATGGCCTCCCTTCCCTCCCCGCTTGTCCCAGAGCAGGCCGGTTTTATAGAGGTGCTGAAATGCCTGGAATGCCACATAGCTCCGCCTCCCGGACAGCTGCCTGTCTGCCCTGCCCCCCCGGGGAGCTGGGCCAGCCACTGCTCCTCCAGGTTTCAAACCCCCGACCCCTGCTCTGGTCATCCCAGAGTTCAGTGGCCCTGGTGCCTCAGCTTTCCGTGGAGTGGCCCGCTGAGGCGTCCCTGCACCTGGTGGGAGGGGGCTGAGCTTTAGTGCTCCCCATCTTCTCCCTCGGGGTCCCCAGCCTGGACTGCCATCCAGGCCTCTGCTCTGAGCACACGTCCTGTGTGCCACGGGGCTTCTGAGAGCCCTCAAGGGAATGGCTGAAAATTAGCAGCTGGAGCCACTCTGGCTTCTGCGCACCTGCCAGGGGAGCTCAGCCCAGGGCTCTGCCCCTTCCTAGCTCGGGGGCTTTGCATGATGCTCTTTGTCCCTGTGGGCCTCAGTGTCCTCGTCTTCAAAACGGAGCTCCGTTCCCCTGCCTCACGGGTTGCTGTGAGCCCTGGGGAGTGTTCAGAGCTCCGGGTGGTGCTGGCCCCCAGGAAACAGCCCGAGTGTCTGTTCAGTAAAACCAGTCAAGAGTGAACTTGCAGCACTGGTGGGAGCTCTCATCCTCCCAAAGCTGGGCCTCATCACCCACCCCTGGGGGACCCGGGGGCTCACGGCGGGGTGGGACTGACCCAGGCTTGCCTGCTTTGCACAGCCATGCCATTGCCTGTGCCCCGTCATGGGCTGCTGAGTGCTGCCAGGCCCTGAACCTGTGTCCTCGGGGTGCAGAGGAGAGAATAAGGCCTAGGGAGGTGGGTCACGTGGCAGGAGAGGGGCTGGTGGCCACTGGTCTGGCCCGGGAGCCGTATGGGGCACAGGCTCTTCTTCGCGGGCTGTCGCAGGTTTGCTCGAGGACGCCGACCTCTGCCATCCCTGCTGGAGCTCTCCCGAATGGCCTGGCTCACCTGGACTGCCTGGCCAGGCTGTGAAATCCAGGACCCCCGGGCAGACCCAGCTCCCACTGGCCCTGGCGCGGGAGGAGAAAGCTGGGCAGGGAGCTCGTGGGGTGGTGTCAGCTGCTGGGGCCACCTTCTGGGGCCTGGCCCCTTCTGGTCCTGGCTGGCCCCTTCCAAGCTGGCTGGTAGGTCCTTGGTGGCCAGTCCCTCCCATTGGGAGGTGCCCAGGGTGCCCCAGGCCCTGGGTGGGGAGCACAGAGGAGGGCAGGCAGGGCATCGGGGGAGAGGGTAGGACCGGGTCAGCCTCCAGGCCGTGCGCCAGGGCTGAGGATCACCTTGCACAGGCTCTGCCTGAGCTAGCTGTCCGTGTAGGCTGTGCTCCGGACACTTCACTGCACAGGACAGGGCCTGCTCCCAGCGAGATGTCCAATCTCTGGGACTCCCAAACTGACTGTCCATGACCCACTTGGGTCCCCCATCCCTCTCCTCCCGGCCTGCTTCATCACGGTCTGCCTAGTTTCCCATGCCCTCTCCTACTTCCCATAGAAATGTGCCAGCTTTCTTGTTTGCCAGCTCCTCCCCAGACACCCAGAAAGCTCTGTTGGAAAGATAATCTCCCCAAAAACAGTGTCCCAGCTGGGGCGCCGTGGGTGGCGATGTGCAGGGGCAGGGGGTGGGGCCGCCTCATGTGGCAAAGGCCTACGGGGAGCTCTGCCCGGGGGCAGTGGATGCCTCCCCCTCGCCCCCACAGGACACAGAGGCCCCAGCACGAGGAGCCACCAGACGAATCCACCCCTTCATTTACTGAGCATCTACTGTGCGCTGTGCTGAGGGTGCAGCAGGAAGCAGAGCGGCCCTGCTCTGTGGGCTCCTGACCACAGGCTGGAAGGCGGTTCCCACCCAATGCTAGAAACCAAAACAAAGTGCTGGGGTGCCTGGCAGGCCTCCTGGGGGTGGCGAGCATGTCTTCATGGGTGCACAAAAAGTGGAACAGGGGTCAAGATGGGGGCGTGGGATTATTTCTCTCAGTGGCTCTCCAGGGAGCCCTGGACCCAGTGTCAGTTACAGACGGGATGGGGCCGAGAGGCCAAGCCTCTGCTGGTAGTTTTTGGGGCTCAGTGCAGAATGCAGGCCCCTTGTCCACAGAGCAGGACAGAGCCTTTTCCTTCCCTCCATGGCCTCTCCTGGTGGTATTTTTATCTGCTGTTCCATGTCATGGCCTTTGGGCATGAGGATACTCCTGGGTGAATGCCCACCCTCACAAGTGCCCAGGACCCCTTCCCCAGACTCAGTCTGACCTCAGGTCCCCCGGGCAGAGGGCAGCGGCTGTGCTGGGGGTACTGGGTGGCCAAGAACTTGTCCTGGGAGGTGGAGGGAGGGGGCTGTGTTCGAGCCAGGGTACCAAGCCCTGACGGGTGCCCCATTTCCCCACTGGACGTGGCTTTCAGAACTTCAGTTCAACAGTGACATGGTTAAGGCTCAGCACAGTGGCGGCACAGGGTCAGCCCCAGCTGGGTCCCTTCTGAGTGTGACCTGTGCCTCTGCTCGGCTGCTTGTAGAGCAGCGGCCCCAGAGGCTCCTCGGGCAGTTTGAGTTCCTGCCACGGAAGCCTGGCCAGGACCCTGGGAGGGGGCGTCTGGGGCACCTAAGGCCTGCCCTCCCAGGAGCCTACTCTGAGCAGCTCTCCAGGGCTGGCGGTGGCTGCAACCTCAGCACACGGTGAGACCCTCAGGCAGCGCTTCCTGTCTGTGCTTTATTCTGTACCCCCCCAAAATTCCTAGGGTTGTCAGGGCCCCCAGAGGCCTTCCCTGTCTCTTGGGGTCTCCCCCAACCCTCCGACCGGGGGATCAGGCAGTATCCGCAGCTCCCTGGGGGTCTGGAGTCTGGGGGCTCACTGGTGCCACTCTGGGGAGCCCTGGCAGGCTCCTGGAGGGAGAGGGTGGGGCAGGGGGAAGGCTTGGCAGGCCCAGGGTCACACACCTGCAGGAGGTCACAGAGCCAGAGGTGTGGCAGGTCTGTCCCCTAAGAACTGGGGATGGTTTGTGTCAGCTGGTTGTGGGGTCCCTCCCAAGGGAACCTGTCAGTCACCCTGGGACATGCTGGTCTGGAGCCAAACCCTGGGAAGGCTCGGGACTGTGCCAGGGGGTGCCCGGCCCCGGTGCTCGGCAGGGGTAGCAGACGGCAGCAAGGCTACCCAGAGTGAGCTCTATGGTGTGTCTGTGAGGGGCTGGTGCGTGCGTGCATGTGTGCGTGAGCGTGCAACAGCGCTGCCAACAGGTTCCATGGTGTCTGCGCTTCAGCATACCGACCACAGGGGGCAGTGTGGACCTGGGTCCGAGTCCTGGTTCCAGGGAACATCACAGTGGGCTGGTGGTTGTTTTCTGAGGGTCCTGGGGAGGGGCACATGTGTGAGAACCCGGAGGAGAGGAGGGGATCAGTAAGAGCACTGGGGGTCCTGGTGTGCTTCTCAGATGTGTGACATTGGGTGATACTCAGGAGTCTCGGAGCCTCAGTCTCCCCATCTGTATAGTGGGGACCCCAGAGGCACCGGCTTCGCAGCTCTTGGCACGTGGGAAGATCTCAGTTTGGTAGCATTGCTGTTTTCACTGTTATTGCTCCTTCCCAGGCATTCCTTTGATGGCCAGACACAAGGCAGAACTTTGCCAGGGGTGGGATAATTCTCAGCTGCCCAAGGGGGCACCTGAAGGAGCTCCCCACAGTCCCCTCCAGCAGGGAGGACGGAGGCGGGAGGAGGGTTTTCCAGGTGCCGCTGTGGGCCTACCACAGCTGTGGTGCAGAGGCAGGGGGATGGATGAACTGGCTCTGCTTCCACACCCACGGTTTGGAGGTGCCTCTTTGTTCCAGGAGGGTGGGCCCCGGGGGCCTGACAGCCTTGCTTCTGATACAGCTGGCAGAGTCCGGGGTCTGCTGGGCTCCTGGGGGTGGAGTGTGAGCTGCTTGCCCCCTGCTCTGCCCCACGCTCTGACTCAGCAGGCACACGGGCCTGGAGTCCCGCGCCTGGCCTGCCAGGGGCTGCCCATCTGGCCTGGGCCCAGCCAGGCAGCTGTGCCCTGCCAAGCTGGTGTTGAACATCTGCACAGGGTTCCCCACACCTCTTCTGCCCACTGGCTCTGGCCACTCTGGGTGTCTGGTCAGCAGGCCATGGGCACTTGTGGTGCTTCCCCAGAGGCCCTGTGTGAGCCCCCCTCACCCCAACCATCTGCGTATACGGCCTCAGCTTCTCAGGAGAACCTCTGAGGCTGTGTGGGCGAGCTCAGAGCACCTCCCGCCCCGGACCTCGCACTTCCCATCTGTAAAGTGGAGCCATCAGGCTGGACGCCGCCTATGTCTGGGACTGTTCTGGGCAGCATCAGACACAGGGCTCCGTCTGGAGGCAGCCGTCAGACAGGCTGTGCTGGGGCTCAGCTTTGCCACCAACCTCCCCTGTGACCCCAGGCTCGCCGCTGCTCCGTCTGGATACCCCGACACACAGTCCGGAGCTCTGGACCCAGGAAGGCGGCCTCCCTGCTCCTGGGCGGCCGCCGCAGCAGCAGTCAGCAGGCAGCTGGGCCGGCCTGGCCGCGCTCCAGAGGCGCGGAGCGGGTTAAAGTGTGCGCCAGGCCGGCCGGCGGCGGGCGGGGGAGCAGCCTGGTGGGAAGTGTGAGTTCCTCCCTGTCTGCCTGACAGCTATAAAGGCGGCCGCGCCGCCGAGCCGCCACTGGGCTGCACACCTCCCCGGGAACCCCCTCTCGTGGGCGCTCTTTGAAGTGGAGGCGGGCGGCGGCAAGGGGAGGAGGGAGGGAGGGAGAGAGGCAGGCAGCGCGCACGGCTCGCTGCACCCCAGCCTCCCCCCGCGCCGCGCACCTGGCGCCGCCTGCCCGCCGCGGCTCGGCCCCTTTCTCCAGGAGGACAACCTGCTGACCCCAGGCCAGGTAGGCCACCTGGACGCGTGCCGCTCCCCACTGCAGCCCTGCCCGGGGCGCCCCAGCCCCCCTGGGGGGCCATTATGCATCAGGAGGAGGGCTCCTGGGGAGGGTCCTGACCCGCAGCACCCAGCCTCAGGCGCCTGAAGTTCTCCTGTGCACGGCGAGCCTCTCCTACCGGCCTGGCTGGTGGCTGTTTTTGGACCCCAGGGAGGGATGGATCCCACGTGAGCGGAGCCTGGCCTGCAGCCAGCAGCGTCTGGGAGACTTAATGAAAACCAAGTGTGAGGCCGGCCCAGCACCTGTCCTCGGTCCTGTAGGCAGGAGCCGGGCACCTACGAGCCAATAGCGCTGCCGAGGAGGGCCGCGCACGTGTGAGGCTGCGGGGCGGGGCGGGGAGCGGGGGCCTTGGGGGCGGGGCGCGGCGGGCCTGGAGGCGGCGGGCGGACAGCCGGCGAGAGCGGGTCCCGGGGGCGCAGCTCCTGCGTATCTGCAGGTGCTTCGGCTGCACGGACGTGAACATCGGATGGAGGAGAGGGCGGGGCAGGTTTGGAGAAGGCTGCAGGGGGGGTTCTTTCCCTGGAGTTAGCCAGAGGCGTCCCCGAATTTGTTCTGGGGGCTAGTTGGCCACCTTGCTCTGTGGCTTCGGGTGAGCTGGCCTCCCTCTCTGGGTTCCAGGCTCTAGGGGGACAGCCTTGGTGTTTTCTGAAACCGTTTCTCTGACGTGGTGGCAAGCGACACTCAGGACCTGAGACAAACCCTGAATAGAGGCCACTAAAGACCCCCATTCCTCCCTTCAAGGGGGCAGGGGTGCACACCAAGGGAGGAGATGGGGGTGTGCTGAGGGCCCAGGAGGCTGGAGGTGCCCCCTGATTTGACCCGTGACAGGGAGGTCACGTAATGTTTGGGGCTGAGGCCCCGGGCTGCTTGCACTCCACACTCCAGGGGCATAAGCTGCTCGTCTGCCCTTGGGAGGGAGGGGGACAGACCCCCAGGCTCTGCCTGCTTGAGATCCAGAGGGCCCTGGGCCCGGCCCCTCCAGGGGCAGGGGGACGCTGTGGGCAGGGCGGGGAAGGGCCTGGCGAATCCCTCATGCCCATGAGCCCTCTGGCTGCCCCGCACAGCTGATGGGAGGGTCATCCTCCCACGTGGCCAGCAAGGGCTGAGCAGGTAAAAATCCCCAAAGATGCTCTCGCTCAGGCCAGCTGTGTCGGCCAAGGTGGTGGCTCTCTGGGTTCTGGTCCTGGGCTCCTTCATCCAGCGGGTGCACCTAGGCCTGCAGCCTCCTCAGCTGTCTGTGGTTTTCAGCATAGGCATTCTCCAGCTATTCAGAGGCAAATGTGGCACATGTTCACATAGGCCCTTGGATTGGGGGTGGCACAGGGTTAGCTCGCACACCATTACCCTTCTGTCTCAAGCCCATGGCAGGCATCTGTAATCACTCACCGAGCCCTTCCAACAAGGCTGCTGGGCAGCCATTAGCTACCGATCTCAGATAACCTCTGGGCCTCAGCACTGGGTGGGCCCCAAGGGCTCTTCCCTGAAGTAGACCCTGGTCAGCTGACAGAGGAGCTGGCCTGGCCTGGTGGTGACAGTGGCCTTGCTTCCTAGGATGGACAGCAGACGGTGGCTTTCACACTGGGCCTGGTCCCTGATGGCTATGGCACTTGGGGCTGGGGGCACAGCATCCACCGGGGCCACGGTGAGTGGGGAATGTGGTCCCTTGCCCAGCTGGGCTGATGGTGAGGGGCTGTGGGGAGTGTGCGCAGCAGTCACAGGACACGTTCCCAGAGCTCTTCAGCTCCCAGGAAAGTGTGTTACGAGCCCATCAACCTAGTCCCTGACCGGGCGCTCTCGCAGGCTGGGGGCTCAGAAGGCTGAGTGCTTCCCCTACGAGGAGGTCTGGAACGAGGTGGTGGAGAGAAGGTCAGGAGGAGACAGGGGCCCAGAGCTTGCCAGGCAGCCAGGATGCTCCGGATCCCTGCATCAGGAGAACCCAGAGCCCAGCATCCTGGGAGTTCCCCCTGAGACCATCCCTGCCCCCGGCAGAGCTGAGCCCCGGCTGCCAAGGGACCAGCTGGCTTACCGGTGGGCTGTGTCCTCTGCCTGGACACAGGATGGTAGGCCTGCCCACTGGGGCTCCAGCCTTCCTCTCCCTGTGGGCTGTCTTACCCAGGACAACAGCCCAACGTCCAACAGCCTGGAAGGGGATACCGACGCCACGGCCTACTGGTGGGGTGAGTGGACCAAGTGGACGGCGTGTTCCCGCAGCTGTGGGGCTGGGGTAATGTCCCAGGAGCGGCACTGTCTGCAGCAGAGGTATGGGGCTGGGCACGTGGCCCATGGGCTGGCACAAGGGTTGTCATCCCGGACAGGAAAGGGAGATCTGGGAGGTGGGAGGTGGTGGGTGGGGGTCTCAGGCTGTGGGGGGGTCTCAGTTTGAGGCAGTGCTGGTCTGGTGACTGACTCACCCTTCCCCGTGGCTTACAGGCAGGGGTGTTCTGGGGTTCATCTTGCTGGGGCCAGCCCTTTCATGTGAGGCAGGATCTGTTCCTAGGGCTGTTCCATGGGGGGTGAGGCCCGTCCTGGCCTTCTCTTCTGAAGACCTACGTTGAATAAACACAGGACCTGGATTCAAATCTTGCCTCTGCCTCTTCTTAGCTGTGTGAGCTTGGGCAAGTCACTTAACCTCTCTGAGCACCAGTTTCCTCATCTGTGCAGGCGGGATCATGTTAGAGCCCATCTGCCATTTCTGAGACTACGAGGCACCATGTGTATATGCCCTTTAGCACAGGGCTCAGAGCATGCAAATGCCATTGTTATGGTTAATTCTGTGCACTGAGGCTCTGAGCTATGTGCTGGGGAGACAGGGATGAATTGGACACAGCCCCTCCCTTGGGCAAGACTGGGTGATGCCATCAAACCAGTGAACACCTGAAAGGTGGGAAGTGCCTCAGTGGGGCAGCAGGCATGAGTGGGGAGGAAGGACCTCTTGGTCAGAGGAGTCAGGGGAGGCTTCGGGGTTCAGCCCAGAGGCCATCCAGCGCAGGGGCAGGGCTGGGAAGGGCCTGTTGCTCGGGGCTCCCAGCCATGGCTCAGAGTCCTCGTACCCCTCAGGAGGATGTCTGTCATGGGCGCTGGGAACAGGACCTGCGCGGGCATGTCCAAGCGGTACCAGCTCTGCAGAGTGCAGGTGAGGCCTGCCCCCTCCCCTCCTTGGGCAGGTTTCAGGGTGTGTGCTGTGGCCCCTGGGCCCTCTGGACAGCCCCTTCCATCAGGTCCAAGGGAAGCACAGTGAGCGGCCCTGTGCCCGGATCCCCCTTCCCGCATCAAATCCAGCCTCTCCCGCCTGCCACATCCCATGGCCACAGGCAGGGATGAGCTTGGAGTGTGGCCTCCAGGTTTCGGTTCTCTGGCCAAGACCCCCTTTACTCACAAGTCCTGCACCTGGTGCTGGCTGGGAGGCTGACAATTGCCAGGCATCCCTGTCCCCAAAGGGTCCCACTGCAGCCCAGCTCCATGTGCCCTTGTGCTCACCTCTGCCCTCGGGCACCCGTTAACCACGTGCAGGCAGCAGTGGCTGGGCTGGGCAGGAGGCAGACCCTGGCTTGGCCTCCTGGCAGCTCTCAGTGGGGCCACAGCCTGATCCCAAGCTCTGGGGCTGGGGCGGACAGATGGCGAGTGGTTGGGCCTCTGTGTGTATTCCCATGACCCAGCGTCCTTCTGTGTCTGCATTTTCACACGTGCAGGGAGTTGGGCCTGAAGGGCGGCAAGCGGCCGCAGCTTCCGTGTGGCATCACCAGCCAGCTGCCCTCGGGGATGCTCCTGGGCTCCTGAGGGCCCGCCTCTCGAGTCAGGTCCCGACCCTAGCATGGCCGGCTGGGCCCTGCACAGGCCTCCCCCAGGCCCTGGGGGCTCCTCTGCTGAGGCCAAGCCCACCTCCAGTCAGTGTGCCATGTTCCAGGCACTGTGGCTCCAGCCGTGGGCAGGCAGACAGGCCCCGCCCGAGGACATGGGCTGAGTGGGCAGCCAGCACAGCCGAGGCTGGTGTTGCTTCCCTGCCGGGCGGCAGGCAGGCAAAAGTTCCCCGTGCACACGAGCCAGGCAGTGTGGGCGGCTGAGGGGTGGCAGCTGCCCTTTGGCCTGTCCTCGCTTCTTCCAGAGAGCAAGGGAGAGTGGGAGACGGAGGGAACCAGAGGCCACTGCAGGCCCTCGGCCCTCGGCCCTGGCACAGCCATCCTGGCTGCAGCCATGTTGTGCTCAGCCTGGACAAAAATGCCTTTGTCGGCTGAGTCCCTGCTGAGGCCTCCCCATCGGTCCTCTCACCTCCCAGGAGTGCCCGCCGGATGGCAGGAGCTTCCGCGAGGAGCAGTGCACCTCCTTCAACTCCCACATGTACCACGGGCGCACGCACCGGTGGAAGCCCCTGTACCCTGGTACCGTGGCCCTGGCCCTCCAGTGGGATGGCAGTGGGGCCACCCTTCCACATCTGAGGGCTCACCTGCTGGGGGCAATGGGAGGAGGGGACTGTCCTTGGCCAGTGGGTGGCAGGTGGGGAAACTGAGGCCCAGGGGAGGGGCCTTGTTTCAGGTCACAATTAGTTCAGGCAGCATCATTAATGAGTTGGCCTCTCCCACTCACAGGATAATTTTTGGGGTGCCTGGCAGTTCAGGGCCACTGGTAGAGAGGAACTGCCCCACCCACAAGGACACAGAGGCTGGAACCCAAAGAGCCTGGGCCGGGCCCGACCACCTGCATCCTGGTTCTTTCTTTCACTGAGACCCTGGGCACGTCCCTTCTATCCTCCAGGCCCTGGTTTCTCCATCTGTGCAATGGGGGGCCGGGTGTGCTGACTCCATGGGAGGAAGGGGGAAGACCCTGCGTCCAGCCCCACCCTGAGAGCCTCTGTGCCCCCAGATGACTACGTCCACATCTCCAGCAAGCCGTGCGACCTGCACTGCACCACCTTGGATGGCCAGCGGCAGCTCATGGTCCCTGCCCGCGACGGCACGTCCTGCAAGCTCACCGACCTGCGCGGGGTTTGCGTGTCTGGAAAATGTGAGGTTGTTAAACATTGTAGCACAAGTACCACTGGTCTCATCACGCTGACCGCCCACCTGTCCACCCGTGGCGGTGGCAGCCCTGGCGCCCTCCCAGCAGCCCTCTCCACCTCCCTTCCTGCAGCCCATCGGCTGTGACGGGGTGCTGTTCTCCACCCACACGCTGGACAAGTGTGGCGTCTGCCAGGGGGATGGTAGCAGCTGCACCCACGTGACGGGCAACTACCGCAAGGGCAACACACACCTCGGTAAGAGCCGCTGCTCCAGGCGGGCTCCCAGGTGTGACGTGGCTCCAGCCTGCTGAGACCTCCAGCCTCCTTCCCACTTGGCCCTCCACTGGGCCCAGGTGGGCTGGGCAGGGGCCCTGGAAGGCCCCGTTTGGCTGTGAATAAGGAGCAGCTCTGGGCACTGGAGGCCTCAGCATGCACATGGCTTGGGGATTATGCTGATCTTCGCCGCAGCCTGCAGGGAGTGTAAAGGCCACACTTAAAAGGGGAAACTTTGGCTCAAGTCTCATTCTCAAGCTGATGTGAGAATTGAGTCTGGGCATGCAGATCCTGTGCTCCCAGACCTGAGTTTTGGGGGGTCAAAGGGGCACAGAGGCTCCTGCCAGAGCCAGGCTGACACCAGCATGGAGCCAGCCCCCTCTTCCCTGGGCAGTGGTGTCACTTTTCACAGCCATGTCCATGTGGGCCTGGGGGTGGGCAGGGGGTCTGGGCACGTGAGAGGACTTGGTACTTTTGGGAGGATGTCACTTATGGCACTCGGTGTCGGGTACATTTCCGGGTCTTGGTAAATGCTTGTGGAGTCAGCCTGGGTCATTGCGGCCACCAGACTGGGGAAGCAGGGCAGCTTGAAGCCCACTCAGCATGGGGATACTGAGGCCCAAGTGGAAACTGCCTGCCCGAGCTCCTTAAAGTGAGGCTGGCTGAGTCTGGAATAGAGCCAGCCCAGCAGAGCCACTGTGGACCAGGTTGACGGGGCTCCGGGTGAGTCCCAGAGGCGGGGGGACCTGCCTCCACCCGTACAGGTGGGGTGACTTCAGAGTCAGTGTTGGGACTTGGGCGTGGGACCAGGGATGGGCGTGCTGGATGGAGCAGGGCAGGGTAAGGACAGGAGGGGGCGTCTCCAAAGGAGGGAGGGCCCAGGGCAGAGCGGCTGGGTGGGGATCTGAAGACCACATGGTGGGCACAGAGGGCACCGGCTGCTTTCTTTGGAGGCCTGCCAGATCCTGGGGCATGGAGGCTGCAGAGCCAGTGTTTAGGTTGTGCATCTCTTTCTGAACACCTACTACGTGCCCAGCATCTCCAGCTACTATAAGGCTCAACAGACAAGGGTCATGCCTCCTGGGATCCCGGCTTGGGGACCACTGGCTGACTCTTCAGCGTTCCCCGCCAATTCCACCAAGGGTTCCCCAAGCACCGAGCCCCTCTGGCACAAGTTAACTGCTCCATGCTTCACGGCATCTCTGCAAGGCATACTGCCACAGTGGCCAGTTTGCAGGCGCAGATGCAGGTGGAGAGAGGCGAGGAAACTACTTTCAGTTCACACAGCAAGAAGTGGCAGAGCTGTCTGAACCCAGACAGCTGGGTTCTTGGGTCTGTGATCCGGGGCTCTGACCCCCACACTTCCCTGAAAAGGGGTGCATGCTCACCATGGTGAGGGCCTGCAGTGTATGAGGGCTGCTGATTAGATGCTGAGGAATCTTGTGAGCTAGTTGCTAATTTAGAAGTGAACATGTATAAACCCTGTTTAAATAAATGATACTTAAACAGTCATTAGTTGTTGACCTCTATGGCTACAGAAATTGTGGAAATACTTTAACAGCAGGTGAGCTACTGTGCGCCTCTTCCTAACTTTGCCCCGGCCTACATTGTGCTGGGAGCTTGAAATCGGCCACCACGGGAGTGTTTAAGCCACGGACACTGGCCAGTACTGCACAACAGAGGTGGCTGTTGAGCCAGCAGCACCCTGCTGGCCAGGAGGGATGAGATCAGGGTCTTCAGGATCCTTCAGGGACCTCCGGCTGGAGGAGCGGTGCGGGACTGGCTTCTGGGTGCACAGCAGCAGCTCACTGGGCACGCAGGCGCGTGGCGGCGCCGCCACAGCTTGCTCCTCACGCGGGAGCCCATGGTGTGAGCACACCACTACCCCCTGCAAACCTGCTGTGTGGGCTCTCCCAGCATTGCTGTGTGCAGATGGGGAAACTGAGGCCTGAGGGCTCCAGTGACCTTCTCAGGGCCACCTTGGTGGTAGGTGGCAGAGCAGGGCCCAAGTCATTTGGCTCCAGCAGATTTAAGGTCTGTGTGGCCTGCAGTGTCCCTTGGGAGGGACTGGCACAGGCACGAAATGTGTCACCCACAGCCTTGCTATGAAAGGCTCATGGCACCCAGGCTAACTTAGGCTCATGCCTGGAGGGCGGCCCAGTCCTCGGACTTGCCTCTTGGCCTGGATGTAGCTGTTGAGGGTGGGGTTGCTCTCAGGCAGCACCCCTCCCCAACCAGGAGGGCAGGAGGGTGGTGACCACCATCCACAGCTGCCTTTCCAGTTGCCAGGTGGTGCCCACAGCTGGGCCTGCTGCTCACTGTCATCTGATCTCCCCCAGGTTACTCTCTGGTGACCCACATCCCGGCCGGTGCCCGAGACATCCAGATTGTGGAACGGAAGAAGTCTGCCGATGTCCTGGGTACGTGGCGGGGGCCGGGCGGTTGGCTCACACGGCCTTTCGCAGTCTTACATGGGGCAATGTGTATGGGTGTGGAAGTGGAACTTGATCCTGGATGCCTTCCTGTGGGAGCAGACATCCCCCAAAAGCCAGAACTCGACCTAGGTGTTGGGGGGTGTCCTAGGGAAGCCACCTCACCCTATGCATGGAAGGACCTGTGCTCAGAACTGCTTCATATGGAGGGGTCTTGATGTCAGGAAGTGTGAGTTCCCCATCCCTGAAAAGCCTGGCACAGGCGAAGGTTGGAGGTGCTGGGGGTGGGAGCCCAGCCAGCTGGGGACCAGGAGTGGGACCGAGCAGTGAGGGAGAGGAAGCAGGTGGCCAGTCTGAGCCTGGGAGGGAGAGGGTGCCAGGTCACTTGAACGGGGGAGAACGTTCAAGCTGCTGTGCTCGCCCCGCTCGGCCTCTGGAGGGAAGCTGGGCCTCGCAGGGCCCCCCCATCGTGGCTGAGGCAGTGAGGCCCGCAGCTGGCGGTCTCTCGAGAGGCTCCCTGTGTGGGTGGAGGGCTGGCCAGTCAACATGCCTTGTCTGCACTGCCAGGGGCTGGCCTGAGGCCCTTTGGCTGAGGTGGGCGGGGACTGACACCTGTGAGCAGATGTGCTGGGCCTTGCTGGGTGTGGGGCAGGCCAGGGACCCAGGCAGGGAAGGTGTCCCACGCCTGGTGTACCTCCATTGTCTCGGCAGCCTTGCGAGAGCCCGGGCTGGCAGGGGGAACCCACCTTTCTGAGAGGATGTGTAGGTGGGGCTTGCTGACTGTCCTCACCATGAACGCCTGCCTGGGCTTGCAGTGCTTGTGGCTTTGGGGTCAGCACCGCAGCCCCCGGGCTCCAGCCCCCTGCCCCAGCAGGTCTGCACGAGCCAGGCCTCTGCCAGGCCACTTGCTCTGCTGCTCACTGCGATCGGGGTAAGGTCAGGAGGCACCACGTTCTCAGAGCGGCTGCAAAGTCCTCATTCTCAAAGCGGCAGTGGAAACACCACGGGCCTGGAGCACTGGGAAAGCCACAGGAAGTTACCGTTGTGGGGAACACAGGTCCGGATGCAGGCTGGGGATTTAACCCTTCACACGTACCTGGAAGCTGGGCTGAGACAGCTGGCCCCGGCATGTGCCCCACCACCCATGGCTCGGCCTCGGGTTCACGTTGTTTTTGACGTTACTGCATTGAGGGCGTTTGTCCAACAGATGCGTCCTGGTTGCCGCATCTGCCTGATAATAAATTAATCGCCAGCCGCCTCTGCTCGCATTGCATCAGGAGCTTTGGACGCGGAGCGCTCCCCTCCCTCCGGCCGGTTCCAGGAACGGGCTCTGAGGACGCCCACTGGAAGGCGCACTGTCCCAAGTGTGGAGCCACCTTCCTGCTCTGTCCTCTGGGCCCTGAGGCCCTGAGCCCTCCTGTCAGCACCCACAGCCCCAGGTGGCCATGCCGGCACTGGGCGGGCAGGGGATGGGCTGCTGGCAGCTGCATGCATGGCCCGCTCCTGGGTGTCCCAGGCTGGAGGCAGGCCCTGGGAGTGGCCCTGCCACTGAGGTCTGCTTGGCGTGTCCACCTGCACCCCGCCTCAGAGAGGGGGGTGCTGAGAATGTGTCCAGGATGCTCAGCCATGCCTGGGAGAAGGGATGAAGTGGGAGCAGAATGTCACGGCCCCCGGGGACAGCAAGGAGCTGGTCAGCTTAGGTGGACCAGATGGCCTGCTGGGGCGGCTGGGATAGCACTCGGGGCCAGCCAGGCCAGGGCTGCAGCATGCTCAGTGTGAGCCCTGAAGGGACGCTGAGGTCCCCTCTCCGTGTGTGGTCCCTCCCCAAGGTGGGAAGCTGGGGGTGGGGGCTCGCCTCGAGTCACGGGGTGACTGCAGCTCAGCCAGGCAGGTGGGTTAGCCCCACCTGGCTAACGCCTCTTGTCCAGTGTGTGTGCTTCCGCAGGTGCTGACCCTTCTGGTCCAGACCCAGCCACTTAGTCCTGGTGCTGCTCATCACCTCGCAGCCCAGCCTCTTCAGAGGAGGCCAGAATGACAGACCAGTGGGCCCCTCGTCGTCTAGACATGCACTTATTTACTTGAGGCTGATGGGAAAGTACATTCACGGCCCTCGGCTTTCACTGGCCGGCATGTCTGACTCCCCCACGATGTGGAGCTTCCTGTCTTTGGGTTATTAGGGGACAGCCTTGGGGACAGGCTGGCCACAGCTCCCTGAGCATGTGATGCTGGCCTCCCTGCCTCCCTCTCCCATCCCCCCAGCCTGTGTGACGCTGGCCTGGCTCTTTAGCTCTTGCAGATGAGGATGGCTTCTATTTCTTCAATGGTAACTTCAAGGTGGACAGCCCCAAGAACTTCAACATCGCCGGCACGGTGGTCAAGTACCGGCGGCCCATGGACATCTATGAGACGGGCATCGAGTACATCGTGGCGCAAGGGCCCACCAACCAGGGCCTGAACGTCATGGTGAGTGTGCGTTGGGGTTCAGGGCAGCAGGGATGGTGGGGGGCCCCACAGTGCACATGTACCCAGCAGGCTCTGTGCTCAGCTTTGGGTGGGTCTGTCTGTCCCCTGGTGTGCAGCTCTTCAGGACCTGCACAGGGGCCAAGGAACCCCCTCCCAGCCCTCCCTGCCCTTGGTGATCAGGTCAGTTTCCCTACCAGGATGGAGACTCCTTTCCTGCTGCTCAAATGACCAGGTGGCCGTCTCGGCCTGCAGTCTAATGGGCCTCTTGCTGTGTCTCCTGGTGGAAGTGTCCCTTTTGGGGAGTCAGGACCTCTAAGACCCACGGACCCTAGAGCCCCAGGGAGGTCCCTGGGACTAGTAGCCATGGCTGTTTCCACATCTTGGTTCCCAGATCCTTGCAGTCTACCCAATAGGGACACAGCCCCCTGTTATGGTGACTGATTTAGGATGTGCATTGCATCAGGGGGGATGCTGAGGCCCTGTCCTCTTGGGGTACTGCTGCCTCTAGGCTACATCTTGGCTCCCCCTTCCATCATTCTGTGCGGCTGGCAGTTTCTGGGCAGTGCAGCGAGCACCAGGTCCAGTGGCTCTCCGAGCCAGGTGGCCGCTGTGGCACCTCCTTTGCTGGGAGTGTGTCCCTTTGTCTGAGGCAGTGCTGTGTGGGGCCCTGTCTCAGTGGATCATGCTCTGTGAGCCCTTGGGCTTGGGGACTGGCTGAGGCCCTGGGGCAGGAAGGGCAGCCTTATATTCAGGATAAGATGAATCACTTTCCCTTCTAGGATAGAAGGGGTCTAATGTAGTCATCTTGCCGTCCAATAATGGATGGTCCCCTGCAGGGGCCAAGCTGTGTCCCTTCCCCAGCTTGGTGCTGACTCTGGAAGGCCGGGCTTCCGGTCAGTGGAATCAGCGAGGGCAGCCTCGGTGAGTGAGAACTGAGGCTCTTGGGCCTGTGCCCAGCTTCCACCCCTGCCACCAGCCTATTCCAACATGTACCCACTGTGCCATCAGCAGGGTGACCACTGTCAGAGGCAGGCCAACATCAGCTGGGAAAACCATCCCGTTACCTGGTCGCGCAGTGCCCCTCCTGGGGTTAAGTCCCCTGGCCTGGCCTGCACTGACAGGTGATGCAAAGCCCTTCCCGCTTTATGTCTGCTCCAGAGATCCGCCCACATCTCTCCCCCTAACTTCAAATCTTTTCCAGTCAGGACCCTGACCAACCAGTCCAGTCATTCGCTCTGCCCACGAATCAGTGTATATTCTCACCCCGGGCCACTCCACTTCCCGTACAAATCAGATGGTCATGTCTCACGCGCTGCCTAAGGCCCACCCGGAGGATGTCCCCCCATGCGATTTTTCAGGGCCACCTCTGAATGGGGCCTTAGTGAAGCAGATCTCATCTCAGCTTGCACACCCACATCTCTGGATCAAGTTCGGCCATTCTTGTCCTCTGTGACTTGGCCACAAGGGTCCCTCATGTGGCCATGATCTCTGAGCTAAGAAAGCTGCTGGTGCGAGGGTCCTGGGTGAGGGGGTTTCGGTCTGCCAGCAGCTTTTGGCCCTCTGGCCCTGATTGTGCCTAACCCTGGATGTGACACTTCCATCTTATGAGAGATCGCTGCTGGGCCCTCCCAACCATGTATCAGTGGAGTTGACAGGCCTCATGTTATCATATGCAGCTCTGGCTGCGTGGGTTACTCGGTGACCTGTGGTCAAAGGGTTCCATCTCCAGTAGGGCTTGGTAGCATGTCTGCTGGGTCTTACAGCCCAAGAGGCAGGGACCTGCTGCAGGGCCTGCTTTCCTCAGGACCCCTCTCCGAGCTGGCAGCCTTTTATGGTACCCACAATATGAATTAGACCAATACTCCCAGATGTGGGATACGCTGTACCCTAAATCTGCTTCCCGATGCAACATGACAATTTGCCCTTTATGTTCAAGGGGATGTCCTGGCATGCCTGAGACTAGGGGGCCCTGAAATTCTCACTTGCCGGGGGCCAGTGAATCTTCATAGGATCTGTTCTCCGATCCTCTGGAATGAATATGCTTCACCAAGCCTCACGTGCCACCTTCCACTTATCTGGTCTGATGAACGTGATGTTATCAATCTGGAGGATGGTGGAATGTTCCGTAGAACAGTCCAGCCCCTTGGTACTGTGTTATAACAGGGTGGCAGCCCTGGGTCAAAACTGTAAGTGTGACTGTTGTCTATCCCATGTGAATGAAAGCTGTCTCTGCCTCCTCCCCAGCAGGGACAGAAAACAACATCTTTGCCAGCGGTGAGCGTGTGGCCACGTCCACCTGCTCTAGGGAAGTCCCACATCCTTCCAGGGCTGCATGGGGGCTACTGCTCTGTTGAGTCAGTAGTTCCCTGCCATCTTCCTGGACGTGTCTTGTTTTTATAGGGGCCAGACTGTTGAGTTAAATGGGGGATATGACGGAGTCACCAGCCCGCATCCTTTAGGTCACTAAGAGTGGTACTAATCTGTGTTTGCCCCCAGGATGCAACGTTGGCTTTGATTTACTCCTGATGGGGTCGGTGGTCAGGTTCACAGGCTTCCACTTCGCTTTCCCCACTAGGGCGGCCCTTACCCCGCAGGCCACAGAGTCGGTGTGAGGGTTCTGAGCTTGGGGGCAGGCAAGCCTTGGAGCCAGAGGACACACTTGGCACCAGACCCGGGCCATGATTGGGCGCCCCTATGTGACCCCCATGCTCTTGCGAGAACAGGGGGTGATGGTGATGCTTTGGGTCCCTGATTATCAATGTCGCCTTGGACCCTGGTTCCAGAATGTCTACCCATTTCTCCAGTGAGTGATTGACCAAGTAAATGGCTGGGGGGCAAGTGGGGGAGCCATCCCCACGTAGGCTTGCTGGTGGCTCCTTCTTCCTGGGGACCTGGCCGACCATCATTCTGTGGATTCTGGGTCTGAAAACTGGTCCAGGAAGTCATGCAGGGATTGTGACTTTACAGAGTAGCCGCCCTCTACTCTCTGTTCACTCACCCTTGGTACCTTTGATTTTGCACATGGAGAAGCACCTTTTCTGGGCCCATGTATTTGACTCCATGGAGTCTGTAGCCACAGGTCTCTGTGGTTCAGGCCTCCTGGCTGCCACATCAACCCTGTTGCTTGGGCCCCCATGTTTGTGGTGGGGGGTCTGGTTCTGTAATAGTGTCTCCTGCCATCAGCCTTGCCCCTGGGACCCCCGCCCCTGCCCCTTTGAGGGGTACTGGTGCCTGCTCACCACCGCCTCTCCTATCACTCTGGGAACGAAGTGTCCCCCAGGACCTCCTGCAGGAAAGTCACCCAGAGGGTCTTTTTCTCCATTGTCTGCCATAGCCGTAACCCTTTGCTTACTTGACCTCAGTTCCTCAAACCTCCTGGAACCGTCCTGACGGCACGTCAGCGCACCCTCCCTGTGAGCCTCATCCTTTAAAATGAGCCAGTGCTTCCGCTCGGAGAAGCCCCCTCGTGGGGTCTCAGCTTCCCTGCGTCCCATCCAGTCCTCTGAGTGGATTCCGGTCCCACGGTTCTCCTGGCCTTCTGCCGGCTCCCATTGGCTGGCCCTGCAGGCCCACCGTGTATTGCCCCTTATCCCCTGGGCTCCCCTTACTGGGTGAGGATGGGACTTACCTTGGGTCAGGGCCTGACGGCCAGGAGAGGAGGTGGGGCAAAGTCCTGATGGAGGCCTGCGGGGTCTGGAAGTCAAAGGTCTCCCCACTGACGCCAGGCCAGGGACACATGCTTGCCTTGACAGGGACAAATTGCCACTTTTCAGGCCTGGAAGATTTGGGGGATTTCACATTTTCAAGCATATTAACTCAGATACGCACAGCCTGTCTCAGGCACTCTCCTCTGTCCCGACTGTGGGCAGGACACAGAAGCCAACCTCTGGTACCCTGTCCTCTGTTCTCCCACCTGCTTTGCCCCTGGCTGGAAGGCACAGAGTGTCTTTATGTATTATAAGGAGGCCCTCTGCTTGGTCTTACACCCGCAATTAGGTGGTGACATTGCCATTTTCCCGGGGCACAGCATCCTGGAGCCCTTCATCCTTCCTTAACGCCCACCCCGCCCTAGCCAGCTCTCGAACACTTGAGACACGGCACCCACCGGCATGTTTTCTTCTACTGGTGCCCCATCCCAGTTCGCCACTGGAGGGGTCTTACTGCTCCATGCACCCCAGGGTGGGCTGGCACTGCCCCTGCTGACAGGTGAGCCTGCCCCAGACTCCCGTTTGAGAGCCTGCTTGTGCTTCTTCTTGCCCCACCTCCTCTCCTGGCCGTCGGGCCCTGACCCAAGGTAAGTCCCATCCTCACCCAGTCAGGGGAGCCCAGGGGTAAGGGGCAATACACGGTGGGCCTGCAGGGCCAGCCAATGGGAGCCGGCAGAAGGCCAGGAGAACCGTGGGACTGGAACCCGCACCACTGACTCGTGTTGGAGTCCCCTCAAAGGGCCCTGAGGACCCTCGGGGAGGGGGAGAGGGCAGGCAGAGGAGGAGCTGGGCTGGGGTTCTGCCTCAGCCCACCCGAGGGGGAGCTCTGCAGCCCGGATGGCCCTGGGGCCCCGCACCTCGGTACTCCCCCTCGACGCAGGGTGTCTGGGTGAGAGTGCAACGTTATTGCTTAGGATTTCAGGGACAGGGTAAGAGAATGCAGGCTGGATTTTAGCTGGCTTTGTAACTTCTAAGACAATCTTTGCCCATGAATCCTTTACTGCCTGTACTGGGGTGGACGGCTCCCTAGGCACCCTCGGGTGTGCCCAGTTCACCAGTCTTTGGACACGGGCTACCCCTGCAGCCAGGCGTAGCTGTGGTCAAGGCACTGTTACGGGTGAGTACCTGGGGAAGATGCAGCTCTGGGCCCCAGCAGGGATGCTCCTGGCATTGGGGACAAGAGTGTGTCTGTCCTATGGGGGCTTGTGGGTGATTGATGGGCCTCAGCAGCCCCTCCAGGCTTGCAGGGAAGGGGCTGGAGTGAGCAAGGGGTGGGGTCCCACTTCTTCTTCTCCCCAGGTGTGGAACCAGAATGGCAAAAGCCCCTCCATCACCTTTGAGTACACGCTGCTGCAGCCGCCACACGCCCACCGCCTCCAGCCGGTCTACTACAGCCTCTCTGAGGCCGCCTCTGAGAGCGCCGAGAGCCAGGAGCTGGGCAGGGCCGGCCTGCTGGGCCTCCTTCAGCACAACGGTTCCCTCTATGGCCAGACCTCCTCGGAGCAGCTGGGCCTGGACAGCCGGCTCTTTGGCCCCCTGCGCCCGGGGATCGAGCCGAGTCTGGGCAAGGGCCAGGAAACCAACGAGGTGTGCGAGCAGGCCAGCGGCGGGGCCTGCGAGGGACACCCCAGGGGCAAGGGCTTCCTAGGTAACCAGGGGGCCTTCTGGGGGTGCGACCTGGGGTGTGGGGCTGGCCGCTTGTGGGCTTACAAGGGCAGATGTGGTGCTAGGCTGACGGCGTGTGCCCCTTTGCGTGCATTCTTTGAGGGGGTGGGGTTGCTCCTCTTTGACAGACGTGCAGAGCAGACTAAGCCTTAGGGAGAGTGAGGACTTGTCCCCAACAGAGTTTTCTACCGTGGAGCAGCTGGGGGTCAAATGCACGGTGGTCTGACTCCATGGCCCGCGCCCTCGCTCATTCGGTGGAGGCGGGCAGGCAGACAGGCAGGCAGGCAGCAGGGGCAGGTGTGTCAAGGGCTCTAGAAAGGAATATTAGGTAGTCGAGGGGCACAGGAGCCCCTGACCTGTGGGCTTGGGAACAAGTAAGGTGGCAGGATGAGGGTGTGGGAGAGGGCTGGGGGTGAGAGAGGGCCAATAGGGATGGCCTGGCGAGGCAGGCTCCAGGGGCAGATGTAGGGGTGGGTCAGGGACTCGGAGAGGCCTGCTGGCCATGTGACTGAGCTCCTGAGGACCATCGGGGGGTCTGGGCATCACACTTGCTGAGGGACGGAGGGTGGAAGAGGCCCCTCACCTACTTGGGGCAAGTTTCCAAGGACCTAGGAGTCTTCAAGTAGAAGACACTTCGGAAGTCGTGTTAGCTCCCTGGGGCTGTAGTAACAGCACCACAAACGGGGGGCTTAAAACAACAGATCTGTGTTCTCGCCCAGTTCTGGGCCCAGAGTCCGAACTCGGCACCCAAGGGGCTGTGCTCCCTCTGGGGGCTCTGTCGGGAGGGTCTTCCCTTTTTACGCAGCTTCTGGTGGCTTCAGGCACCCTTGGCCTGTGGCTGCATCTCTGGCATCTGCCTGTGCGCTCGCACTCTGTCTCCGTGTCTGCGTGTCTCCTCCCCTTCTTACAAGGACGGCAGGCACTGCATGCAGGGGTGCACCTTGAAGCCACGACGGTCTCATCTCTAGATCCTTAACTACATCTACAAAGATCCTATTTCCAAATAAGCTTCATTCTGAGGTTCAGGGCAGACATGAATTTTGGGGGAACCCTATTCAACCCACTGCAGAGGTCAAGCAGATTCCCCTACAAGGGATTGTCCAGGCCGGCTGACACGCGCCTACTTGGTGGCCCATGTCATCTCAGAAACCTGCCTGTGGGAGCTTCCTGGTCCAGATCTTTGCTGCCAGCCCCACCGCCCCCACCCCCTGGCAGCTCTTGTCCCTGACACAAGGAAGCGATTGAGGTCAAGCCGCCTGTCTCCCTCACAGACGGCAATGCCACCGGGATAACTCTCGGAGGGGACGAGGATGACCAAGAGGCCGATGCCCGTTTCACCTCTCAGGAGCTCCTCTCGGCCAACGCCATCTCTGGCCAGCTCCTGGCTGCAGGCTCGGACTCCAAGGAGCCCCCCCTCAATGCGACCGGCAATAGCATCTTTGCACAGGGCTCCCCCAGGAGCTCCCTGTCCGAGAGCCTCTACGTGGACTTCGAGGAAAGGGAGGGAGCCGGTGCTTACTTGCTCAATGGGTCCTACCTGGAGCTGAGCAGTGACAGAGTGGCCAACACCTCCTCAGAGGCCCCCTTCCCCAACGCCAGTGCCAGCCTCCCCAGCTCCGCCGGGAACAGGACTCACAGGGCCAGGTAGGAGGCGCTTCCCCTGCCTGTCCTAGGGCTGCAGGAGTGCGGCTGGGGGAGTGAGGCCTCCCCACAGGGGTCTGGCTGGGAAGGGCTGGGGACACAGAGGTAAGCAGGAAAGAGCCATCCCTGCCCTAGGTCCACCGCCCTCACCCCATGCAGGCTGGGCCCAGGGGTTGAGGCCCTGTGCCTAGTGACCACCCGTGGGACTGAGGCAGGAGGGCAGGAGGTGGCTAACGGTTCCGAGCGCTTGTGAGCCAGGCTCTGGGCCAGGCCCTGCACACAGGCAAAAACAGTCACTCATCACAACCGCCATTAGGTGAGGGACGGTCACATGGGCTCAGAGGGGGCCAGCAACACCCTCAGGGCCCCAGAGCCCGGAGGCTTGGGGCCCCAGCTTCTCCATCTGGACAGCCACTACACGTTATGTCTGTAGGGCATGAGGAAGGCGTCCAGTCCGCCCCCTGAATGTGGACTGGCTCAGCAGCACCCTTTACTGCAGGTCAGAGAGGAAATCGGGGAAGGCCCAGTGGGACCTCAGCCAGGGCCTAGACCGCAGACTTGGCATCAGCAACAGGGCCTTCTGCTGTGGAGGCCAGAGCTGCCTCTGGGATGCACTGTGTGGGAGTCTGCTTGGGCCAGGCCCCCAGAGCCAAGAACATACCTGGGGACACCGGGGCAGGCACAGCTGGGGTCACCTGGGCAGGCACGGCTGGGGTCACCTGGGCAGGCACAGCTGGGGACATATGGGCAGTCACAGCTGGGGTCACGGCAGGCACAGCTGGGGTCACCTGGGCAATCACAGCTGGGGACACCTGGGCAGGCATGGCTGGAGTCACCTGGTCAGGCACGGCTGGGTCACCTGGGCAGTCACAGCTGGGGTCACCTGGGCAGGCACGGCTGGGGACACCTGAGCAGTCATGGTTGGGGTCACCTGGGCAGTCATGGGGACACCTGGGGATCATGGCTGGGGACATCTGGACAGTTAAAGCTGGGGACACCTGGAGAGGCCTGAGGCCAGGAGCCTCTGGGTCAGGGCCAGCCACCATCACTACTAGAGGACAGTCCCTGGTGACAAGCCCCTGGGCTGACAGCAGCCACCCGGGAGCACCCTGCTCTGCTTTCCAGAAGCTCACAGGGCAGCAAGGCTGGTTTAAACAGACCAAACCAGGCCCGGCAGCCACTGGGGGTGGGTGGGGATGGGAGGCAGGAATGGGCCGCTGAGTTTTGCTTTGTCTTGTTCCTTGAGGACCCACACAGACCCCTTGGCTCTGGATGGGAACCCGAGCCGGGGCTGAGAGCGCAGGGCTGGGGTCCTCAGGGGCTCTGGACTGCATCTGATGAGACACTTGGGGTCCCCTCCTGAGGTGATGTGGCTGGGGGTGACCTCGCCCTTCCCTAGGGGCCAGAAGCAGTGCAGTGGGCCCCCAAACTGCAGGAGGGTGCCTGCCCCTTTCTCGAGCTGTTCCCCGAGGCCCTGGCTCCGGTGGGCTGCCCTGCAGGGGGCTCATGGGTACAGCGGGGGCCCTTCTGACAAGCTCTGGGTGGCTGTCTCTGCATGTGTGGATAGAGCGGGCCCATTGGGCCATCCATTCATGGGACCCGGCCCCAGAAGCCGGGACGGAGTGGGGCTTGTGGGGGCTGGAAGGAGGTGACAGGCTTTGCTTCAGGGTACAAGGTCACATCCCAGAGGGGGCTTCGTGGACGAAGCCCTGAGTCCCAGAATCAGCCAGCACTTGTTGTGCAATCGGGCCCCTTCCCGAGGTTGGGCCTGGCCTTCGTACGGTCACCCTGACTCTTCTGCCCACCGGGCTGCCCAGAGGACCCCATTCTATCCTGTACTCAAAGTGCTCCCGAGGTCTCTAAAGAGAAGCCATCAGCAATACTTTGAGCCTCTTGTGGGGCCCCAGCTCCCATTACTAGGTGCTGAGGGAGGCCAGCTGTCTGGCGGTCAGGTCCCTCTCTGGGTGGGTTTGTCAGGTGGCATAGTGGCTCAGCTGTTTACTTGGCTTCCTTCATGGAAAACGCTGGTGTTGGGAAGCCAGGATGGAGCCTCAGAGATGTGGGTGGCCATCCCACCCCTGTCCACCACTTCCCACGTGACTTGGGCATGTCTCCGGCCTGCTCTGGGCCTCAGTTTCCCCATGCCTAAGGGGGAGCTTGTCAGAGGACCCCTCAGGGCCCGCCCACAAGCATTCACGGATCCCACACCAGGCCGTGGCGTAAAATTACGGGTCCTTAAGCCACATTTTGAAGAGCGCCTCCAGCTCCGTCCCGGCTGAATCGTAGCCCATGGGCCCTGGCTCTCCAGTGCCTCTGCCCGTTGGCGGCAGGAATCCACACGATTGATTGTCAGCGCTCACAGCCCCCCACATGGCAAGATGGGGGCCACTCTCCCTCAGCCATCAGCAATGGGTGCCGCCTGGCAGAGAGCTGAGATAAAGGGCTGAGGGGGCCACAGGGAACCCCCTGGGCAAAACGGCCTCGCCTGGTGAGCTGTCCCAACACAGGAAGTCTGCTGGAGAGAGCGTGAAATCAAAGGCACAGCCCAGAAAGGAAAGGTTATTTTCGTCTTCTCAGAACAGCCTCAGACAATCAGGGGAGGCCCCGGTGGCCAGACGCAGACACTGGGAGCAAACGTCTCAGACACAGGGACTCAGGGTCCCTTGCCCAACCTCAAGAGGGAGAAAAGTGAAGAGAATTTTCTGGTTCATTTGTAAACAAGCACAGACGCTGCAGAGACTCTCCATCCCTGCTTGTGCAAACCCGGGTGTCCGGGAGCCTGGGCGCTGTCCCTATGGGGCAGCAGTCCCCACGCTCCCATCTGCAAGGGGCACCACCTTCCTCCCAGATGGAGGCGGGGGGAGGGGGAGGGCTGCTGGTTCAACCTGTCCTGGGTGTTTATCTCATTGGGGTGCTACTTCCAGAACAGAACCCACTGAGGGTTGCATTGTTGTGCAAATATATACAGGTTTTTTTCAAGAGTTACACGTGCTGTGTGGGACATGTGCTGGTGTAAGAGTGTAGGGTAGGCAGTCCCTCCAGAAATACCTTTTGTGCTTAAAATCCGTGGGCATGTTTTGAAGTGGGGCTGCTCTCGCATCAAGAGTGAGTCACGCTGCCTGCTGGCTGCAGGGGTGCGTAATTACGTAAAGATGGCGCAGCCTCTCCGTGGGTGGGGTGCTGGGGCATGGGTTGGATCCTTCCTTCTAGTTTTGTGCTTGGGGAGAATTTAAGGCTGTTGAAAGGAGGGGGGGGGCCCACTCAGCGCAATCCACTGTTTTCCAAATTGAGCGTTAGGCAGTGCACTTCCAGATTCTTCCTCCCCAAAGGCATTGCCCAAGGACCCTGGGTGCTGCCTCAGGTTTCCAGGGGTGCTTTGTTCTGGGATGACTGGGTCTTGGGTGGTTGGGGGACCCATTTAAAGGTTTTCTCTGGCCTTTAAGGAGAAAGGATGGGGGACCTTCCCTTTCCCTTCTGAACCAGTGATAGGACAGGCTCTTGGTTGTAAAGCCACCAGGTGAGGGGCCCCAGTCCCTTTGAACAGCTCTGAAACTCACCACCAGCTCACTGCCTTCCCTGCTTCCCTCCCTTGCTTGCTTCTCCCAGTCTGCTCTCCTCTGTCCCCACTCCCTGGCTTTATGTGGTCCCATCAGTAAATTCATCACTTAGGACTGCGGGTAGATTGTTCCCTGTTTCTCAGATGTGCTGTGCCTTCGGGCCAACACTCGTGCAAACGTGAAATTTGAGAGCAGCCCTTGTCCACTAGTGGAATTCCAGAAGTTGGAAGACTGACCAACAGTGGCCTTCCCATTGGATCCGCACCCGTGTCTCTGTCACAGGATTGACTGGGAAACTTTTAGAATGTGTGCCTGGCACCCTCAGCTAGCCCATCGTCACCACCGGAGTGACGGTAGGGCTCACAGCGAGGATCTGTGAAAGGGTGTTGGCTCAGGTGGTGGTCATGCAGCCCCTCTGGGCCCCACGGGGAGTCGGGTGGGGCTTGGGGCTTGCTGCAGTATCTGGAGTAAGAGGGCATGGAGGCCTGTGGGATATGCTGTCAGCCAGGCCAGGCACCCGTCCCCTTCTCTGGCTCTGGGGCCACAGGACTCATGGGCCACATTCACGTGCAGGCAGGCAGCACTGCAGAGCAGATGTGCCCCCGCCCCCCCCACCCTGCTTCCCTTCCCTGCTGAGTCTGAGACCAAAACAAGCCTGCATATTGGACACTGAGGTGGGGCCCCAGCACACCGACTGGTTCAAAGAAGCAAACAGTCCTAACAATAGTTGGCTTCGGCTGCCCGAGTTCAGGCCAAGAATCATAGCTGGTGGCTGGCGGGCACCCAGCGTGCCTCTCCGCTGCACAGCAGCCCTCGCAGACCTGGGCAGAGGCGTCTGGAGGGGACGCAGCCACGCCCCCGTCTGCAGCCGAGCTTTTCTATTTTTGATAATTGGAGGCTGAATGGTTAGTGGCCCCATTCAAGCAGAATCCCAGCTGAGGGGGGCCGCAGAAGAGAGTTCTGGCACATTCTCAGCACTTCTGAGGTCCTCTCGGACTTGCCTGTGCTCAGTGGTAGCAACGGAAGCCTGCGTGTGCGGAGGGAGGGATTAGATGTTGGCCAGCCCCGGGCTCTTCAGCCACCCACACACGCGAAGGAGCTCTGACAGCCGCAGCCCAGCGTGCTGGCAGCCGAGTCCCGGAGCCAGGGAAACGCGAACATGTGCTCCGTCCTGAGCTGTGCCTGCCCATGGGGGCTCCCTCCCCTGCTCCGCTCTAGACGGGGGTGCCCTGACTGTGTCGGGAGGGTTAGAGCCGGGGGCTGAGCACAGGTACGCTGTCGGTGGGAGCACACCGTCCCCCGGAAGCTCACCGGGAGTGCATGGCGAGCGCCCCGGTTTCTCACCCTGCTCTCTGCTCTGCTTCCAGGAGCAGGCCCAAGGCGCGGAAGCAAGGCTTGAGTCCAGCGGACATGTACCGGTGGAAGCTCTCATCCCACGAGCCCTGCAGCGCCACGTGCACCACAGGTACTGGACGGCCGCCAAGGGCAGCGCCTGCCGAGCGCTCCTCCACTCTGGCGCAGGCTGGGCTGCGGGTGGCTGCAGCCCCAGACGTCTGCAGGGTGCTTGTCTAGGGCCGGCCTGAGCAGGACGCAGTGTGACGTGGCCTGGCTCTCGGTGTCCTCATGCTCACAGCTGCTGGACCGCGGTGAGGCCAGCCTCTGGGGCTACATGGCCCCCCCACATGCACCCTTGTCTGCTGTTCTTCATATCATGTCTTGTTAGAGCAAATGTTCTTTCAGCTAAAAGTGAGAAATCTCAAGTGGTGAGGATCTGACTTCTGTTTACAGCAACATAGGAGGGAGGAAATAGACCCTGAGATCTACAGTGGAGGGAATGGGTCAGATTCCAGGACCTTGTCAAGGCAGGCTGGACGGGAACAGAAATCCCGTGGTGGCTCTGGATACATGCATGTGGTTAGAAAGTATTGAGCTGGGATTTGACCCCATGTCTGTTTTCCCACATGGCTGGCAACCACCGTGCTGAGCTGCAGGCCACAGCCACCAGAGTCTGGGGTGCCATCGGATGCCAGCTCGGGCCCCTCCCCTGGGGGCTGCTGCAAGGTCAGGTGTCAGACCCAGGACCGGCCCCATGGCAGATGTTGTATGGGGAGGTGGACCTGCAGGGCTCTGAACAACCGCAGGTCCTTGCGTTCTGCTCACACGAGCTCTCCTTCTGGGCTGGACGCTAGGACCCCTCCTCTTGTTAGAAGAGCCTCCTGAGCAGGGCATGGGACAGACTGAGTTTGCCCCCTGGGGTTCCAGGGGACACAGGGAAGCCCTGTGGGTGTGTGAGGGGCATCTGAGTCGCTCTGGTCGACCACACTATGTGCCCCCAGAAAATCACTTAATCTCTCCAAACCTCAATTTTCTACCCATCAGATGGGATGTGCATCTATCCAGGTGGTGGTGGGGATAGACATGAACTGAGAAGTGGGCTATCATGGCCACAGCTCGACAAGGTGGGCCCAGGTGGCACTTGGCAGAAACGGTCAGACTCTCTTGAGCGGCTCCCAGCTACCACCGCCCGCGGGCTCTGTGCTCCCATTTGGCTTTCCCCTGTGCCCAGGACTCTCAAAATTCCATTTTTCAGGGCGCCAAGGCCAGGCCAGGGTGGCGGTGGCTGTCATGACCCTGTGGCACATGTGTGTGTGCAAACATCCAGCAGTGTCACATGCACATGGCAGGGGCCCCTCCCTGCCCTGAGCCATGGAGAGAACCTGTGTGAAGGGGCTATAAGGTCAATGCAGCAAATCCCCTGTCTCCTGAGCTCCAGCTACACTGGGGTGTTTACTTTCTTTTCCTTGAAGTCACTCTTTGGAGCAGCAGGAATGCAGGTGAATTGATTTGAACTCAGAGCTTGAGTCCCCAGCAATGTTTCCAGCTGTTCCTGGGCACCTCCGGGGCGCAGTGGTGAGGGGAGGGGAGCGAGCAGGCTGTGAGCCTTGTCCTGAAAGGAGCAGGCTGACCCCGTCACCTCCTCACCTTTGTTCAGAGGAAGGGCTCCATGTCTAAGGAGGTTGCAGGACGCTGTGCTCACAGCTGACGTAACAGTGTGTCTGGAGAGCTGGCACTTTGACCCTCCCAGAATGTCTGCCGTTTTGGGGGTGAGCAAGCCGAGTGCTGGTGAGTGTGACAGTGTCCCTGCCACCCCACCAGGGACAGACCGAGCTGAGACCTGAGTCCGACTCCCTCTTGATCAGGACCCTCTGGGTTCCCTCTGGGTGACAAGGAGTGAATGAATGATCAGGCGCTTGGTGGGGGCCCGCCGGTCCCCAGCCCTGGTGTCTCTGAGGCCAGGAACATTCCGGGCAGACCTGGCCAGGAAGCCAGCCTCCCCTTCGGAGAGGGCTGCCGGCCACACAGCCCTGCGCTGGCAGAGGAGCCAGTGACTGTGGCCTGCCTCGTCCTTTATGAACAAAGGAAAGTCCCCCTGCGGGCTGCTTCCCAGGCTGCTTTGTTCTGTCCAAGGACTGGGCTTGGAGAGACAGTGGCTGCTGGGGAGGAGAGTGTGTGGGTGGGGCTTTCCAATTATGGGGAAGGTGATTTTCTCCTTGGGGGGCTGGCCACCTCGCCAGGTGGGTTCATGTCCATGGTTCAGGAAGCCCGGGTCTCCCTCCCTCCCTCCCTCTCTCTCTCTCTCACACACACAGAGAAGAAGAACAAAACCTGACCTTGGCAGGGACCCACCACTGCTCAGTGAGCTTGGCCCATGTGCCCGCTCAGGGCCAGGCACAGGGGCGCATAGGCAGGAGGACCAGAGAGGCAGGAGGCAGAGTCGGGAAATTCACAGCATTAGGTGAAGGCTGGCCATTTGCATGCCGTCCATCTGATGGGATTTTTAGAGTACGTGGGAGCCAAGAGATGTGAACACACATGGGGATTATCAAGGAAAGTTCAAGGAGGAGTTCGACATGGACTGGGGCATGCCATGGGGGGACAGGGTGGGTCTGAAGATCTAATATGACATCTGGGGAGGCTCGAAGGGCTGGAATGGTTAGCTTTTCCATCCATATCCAGCTACCCATCCACCAGCCTGTCCATCCATCCATCCATCCATCCATCCACCCACCTATCCATCCATCCATCCATCCACCCATCCATCCATCCATCCATCCATCCATCCATCCATCCATCCATCCATCCATCCATCCATCCATCCATCCATCCATCCATCCATCCATCCATCCACTCACCCACCCACTCATCCATCCCCATCCATGTATATCCAGCCATCCAGCTGCCCATCCATCCACCTACCTACCTTCCCATCTACCCACCCTTGGATGGGTAGCTGCTGAATGAAGAGAACAAATGACACCTGGCTGTATTTGTCTCAGAGACTCTGTAAGGGCTAATTTGAATTTATTCAAAGTTCAGGGTTTGTAACATATGACCTGGGTGCCCAGCCTGGATGGGGCTGGTGGGGGCCATGCCAAGAGAAGAGGTCAGACCTTGGGACACAGGGAGGGAGAGTTCGGATCCCCAGAGCTGTCCTCAGTGAGTCCTGTGTACAGTTCTGTAAGCTGGCTGCTGTCATGATCCCTGATTTAAACCAGAAAACTCAGAGAGGGCAGATGACTTGCCCACAGTCACATGGCTTGTCTGCTGGTCTCCAAGGTGCTCAGCCGTGGCTCACAGGCCTTTCCCTTGTCCTGAACGCAGGGGTTATGTCAACCTTTGCCCTGTGTGTTCGCTATGATGGCATCGAGGTGGATGATAGCTACTGTGATGTCCTGACCCGTCCTGAACCTGTCCAGGAGTTCTGTGCCGGGAGGGAGTGCCAGCCCAGGTACCGGCCTCCCCGTGCCCCAGGGAGGGACGTGTGGGGGTGACGGGCTCTGCTTTGCCTCTGCCTGGGGGGCCAGTGCAGGGTGGCATCCTGCTCCTTCAGCAGGGCTCCTGGGTGGGGCCAGAGTCCGTCCTCCCACGCCTCCTCCTGCAGGTTAAGAAACCGTCCCGAGCATGGCTCTGCACTGCAGCCATGCCCCAGCTCCCCAGGCCTGCTGGCTTCATCCTAGAATTTTATAGGCCAAAAGGGATTATTCCTGAAATTCCAAGCTGAATGACTATCCCTGGGATGTAGGGGAGGCCTCGTCTTTCTAGACGCCCTGGCCCCCTATCCTGCCTCACAGATGGCCAGAGACGGTGACCTCAGCGTATCCTCCTTCCAGCGCCATCAGGGCGGGAGCCAGTGCAGCTTCCGCAGATGAGCCCCAGGTTGCTGGACCTCCCTTCTCGGGGAGGAGGGGCCCTGCTCTCTGACACAGCTCTGCACCTCTTTCCCTCTGGCCTCCTGCATTCTCCTGCTTCTTTCTGAGAAGCTGGGCATCCGGCCCTGGGGCCTGCCCTTCCACTCCAAGCCCCCACAGCGCTGGGGACAGCCAGAGCAGCAAGGCTGGGGCTGGCTCCCTGAATTCCAGCCACTCCAGGGAAGGCCCGGCGGGGTGGGTCTGGCAGTGAGAGAGGGTGGAAGTTGCGCTGGTCCCTGTGCAGGCAGGCTGTGCGCACACTCGGGTGCCAGCCAGGCGTGGGTGCTCCCCGCCCCTGCCTAGGTGTTGCCTAAAAGTGCGGTCACCACGGCAGCAGCCTCACTGGGGGCCTCCCCAGCTTCCTGTCTGGCTTGGCCTGTTGGACATTTGGACCACGGGGAGCAGTGTGGGTCGCATGGGGCCCTGGCCAGAAGGGAGGTCAGGGGGGCTGAAGGCTGACCCCTCCCGAGGCAGGTGGGAGACCAGCAGCTGGAGCGAGTGCTCGCGCACCTGTGGCGAGGGCTACCAGTTCCGCATCGTGCGCTGCTGGAAGATGCTGTCGCCCGGCTTCGACAGCTCCGTGTACAGCGACCTGTGTGAGGCGGCCGAAGCCGTGCGGCCCGAGGAGCGCAAGACATGCCACAGCCCGGCCTGTGGGCCGCAGTGGGAGATGTCCGCGTGGTCAGAGGTGAGCGCGTGCGGCCCAGCCCCATGGGGGCCTCAGGGTCTGTGCCCCTGGGGCAGTCCTGAACCCCCGCCCTGGCTTCCCCACAGTGCACGGCCAAGTGCGGGGAGCGCAGCGTGGTGACCAGGGATATCCGCTGCTCAGAGGATGAGAAGCTGTGTGACCCCAACACCAGGCCTGTGGGGGAGAAGGACTGCACCGGGCCCCCCTGTGACCGCCAGTGGACCGTTTCCGACTGGGGGCCGGTGAGGCAGGCCGGGTGTACCATGGGGGGGCCGGGGCTGAAGGCCAGTGAGAGGCTCCTGGTGCTGCGCCTTGCTGAGCCTCGGTTTCCCCGTTCTTCTGGAAGGAGTGTGTGGGGGAAGGACACCTAACTGGCTGTTCTTCCCATTATTATGAGGAATCAAAGCCTTTATCCAGAAACAAACAGCCCCATCACAATCCCCTTTTATCACATCCCTGTTTGTCTCCCATCTCTGATTCTGGGGTCGAAGAGACGCTCAGCAGCTCAGCAGGCCCCTGGGCGCTGTGTGCACGGAGGCCCTTTGCAGGTGTCTTGGGCAGGCTTCTCCATGTGTGTTTTTCACTGAGCGTGCAATATTTCTGTAATTAGAACAGAAAATGTTATTTAAAAAGGGGTTACCATGGCAACTCCTCCCCATGCTGCCTGGAAGATGCTGTCGGGGACCTGGAAGGGGGCTCTAACCCCGGCGTCCCCCTGCAGTGCAGTGGCAGCTGTGGTCAGGGCCGCACCATCAGACACGTGTACTGCAAGACCAGTGACGGACGGGTGGTGCCCGAGTCTCAGTGCCAGACAGACGCCAAGCCTCTGGCCATCCACCCCTGTGGGGACAAGAACTGCCCCGCCCACTGGCTGGCCCAGGACTGGGAGCGGGTGAGTGTCCCCAGCAAACCTAGCAGGTCTCCCTCTGCAGGGACAGCATCTGACTGACAGCTAAGGGTCCTGAGTGACAGATTGGTCAAGTGAGAAATAATTGTAAATGATGATGACACAATTCACTAAAAATTAATTTGAAATAGAAAAGGCCAAAAAGCATGCAAACCCCTCAGATCTTTCCAAATCTAAACAGGCAAATGCTCAAAGATGCAGAGCTCATGCTCCCCCATCTGCAGCCCCAGCCTCCCCGCGTCCTGATCTGTGGGAAATCGGGGACGGGGGTCACCCAGGGCTGCACTTGCTTTTGGCCCATGGTCCTGTGTAGCTGTTGTTCTCAGGACCACCGTGTCCTCCCCACCAACAACCCGTCTCGGTCACCAACTTGCCCTTTCAGACGAATTGTTCTCAACCACATTGCTTTCAATCAGTCATTTCAGGCAGATCACTATTAAGTCAAATCATCCGACACCAAATTGTCGTTAACCATTTTGTTTCGATACAGATGGTTTTCTGTTAAATTGCTTTTAATCAAATCTGTTTTGGGCCAAATGGTTATCGACCCAAGAGTTCTCAGCCAATCTGCCATCCATCTGAGCATTTTCGCCCAATTGCTATTGACTAAGCCATTATCACCGGCATTGCTGTGCGCCCCGTGTCCTGGCCTCTGACAGCTGACCCGGCTCCATCTGTCCCCCGGCCTCAGTGCAACACCACGTGTGGCCGAGGGGTGAAGAAGAGGCTGGTCCTGTGCATGGAGCTGGCCAATGGGAAGCCACAGACACGCAGCGGCCCTGAGTGCGGCCTGGCCAAGAAGCCCCCCGAGGAAAGTACGTGCTTCGAGAGGCCCTGCTTCAAGTGGTACACCAGCCCGTGGTCCGAGGTGAGTGCCCCGCTGGCCCCCTCTGAGGTTGCCCGAGGCCAGGCCCGGGCTCTGGTCCTGCCATGGTACTTCCCCTCCTGCCCCTCATGCCCCTCATGCCCCCTGTCTGAGCCTCCACCAGGGCTTTCTGTTCTGGGAGAGCTGCTCACCTCTACCAAATCAGCTAGTGCAAAAGCCACCTCCTCCAGGAAGCCTTCTCAGATCTCACCTCTGGGACCCCTGTAGGGCTCATACTGGGCCTTTTTTGACCAGATCACTTCCGATTTTGCAATATAGCCTTCTAGTCATGTGTTGCACAGCATGTGTACCTGACATCCACCACAGGGCAGACCGATCCCAGGTGGGTGCTGGGAGTGTGCAGGGCTGCATCAGACAGGGCCCCTGGCCCTGGGGGCCAGAGTCATGGCAGGGACACAGGAGTAGGGATGCAGACAGATGGCGGAATGCACACTCTGGTGGCAGAGGGGACCAGAAGGAATGGTGGCTACTCTCCCAACACAGGCCTGGCCCCTCCATGGGTCTGTGAGCTCCTTGGCCTCAGGATGTTGGGTGGCACAGAGCTGGGATCTTGCTTGTGCAGCCAGGAGCAGAGCCCTCCCCCTAGAGGCCCATGTGGGCAGGCGGGGGCCAGGCACTTTGCCAAAGGGGTCTCCTTTCCTCCTCCCAACGGGGCATGGTGGGGTGGGGTGCTCTCCTTCCCATTACACAGTAGAAGCTAAACTTCAGAGATGTATCTGACCCACGCAGGGTCCTGCAGTTATTGGGGTGTGGCAGACATTGGAGCCCAAGTCTGTCCCTTGTCCCAGGCAGGCTGAGAAATCTGTAAAATGAAGGGAGCCCCTGGACCCAGCCACCCCCAACAAAACCAGGGCAGAGGGCCCCCAAGGTGCTTGGGGCTGGCCTGCCAGAGATGGGGCCGCTCGCGTTTCGCAGACAGGGAGGCAGGGTGGGCAGCCCCTACCCCCTCCCTGGTTCTCTGGCAGAGCAAGGCAGGCTGTTTCACTTCTGCTATTTTCTCTTCCGTTCCCCTCCGTGGAGGGGTGTGATTCCAGGCCCTGGGGGCCTGTAGGCATCCCTGAGGCTCCCGGCAGCCCAGAGGCAGCCACAGGCAGACCTCCACGCTCGTGGTCTGCACCCTCTCCTGACATGGCCTTAGCGGCAACGCCACTCCCGCCCTCCCAGCTGTGCTATCAGCTTTCAGGAGGGGGGAATTGGGGGGCCCACAGGGATCTTTGGGCATCACTGGTTCCCTAGGGGTGGAGAACGGGTCACAGCCAGTGCTGCTGTGGCCAGGCTGTGTGAGCCGGACTGTCCAGGGCCTCGGCTGGGAGGCGAGAGTGGGAAGGGTGGCAGGTGAGGCCTGACGGGGGCTCCAGGTGCCTGGGAGCCAGGCTGACACCTGCACCTTGGTAGGTGCATCCAGCTTCAGAATGTGGGAGGGCCACTGTGGGCAGGTCCAGGACGTCCTAGGTGCAGGTGTTGTGCTGGCCACAGAGCCGTGGGAGGGAGGAGAGCTGTGAAGCAGGAGCCGGCCCCGGAAGAGCCCGGGATGCTGGGGAGGAGGAGCCCGTGTTGCCCTGATGATGGCGGGTGGGCGAGAGGGGCCTGGCACAGACGGGGTGTGTGCGGCCCTCCGTCATTCTGTCCCTGCTGAAGCAGCACCTTCTCCTCCCACGGCTGCCCCTCCACAGGGTGCAGGCTCAGTGACAGTTCTCTCTTCCTGGCTGCCCACCCAGCCCCCAGGAACAGGGCAGTGGGTTCCCTCCAGGGGCACAGCCAGAGCTCCTAGGTGTCCACCCAAGGCTGATTTCCTCTGTGCTTGGTGCCAGGCTGGCCTCTCATTGCCTCCCTGCTGGGCCAGCCCCCGAGGCCAGAAGTGGGGGGTTCCCCCTGCTGTCTTCATCACTTCTCTGCACATAGTCCGAGGGCAGACCTCCCACCCTGCCTGCCTCAGGGGACCGAGGGCCCAGGTCCCAAGGTGCCTGGGTGACGTGGGGTCACCCACATCGGAGGGAGTGAGAGACAGCCACCACCTGCAGGATCTTGGCAGGAGGACAGTGGGTAACGGGGCAGCAGCGGCCCCCAGTAGCCCAGCAGGGCTTTCCAAGGGGAGGGAGTGTCCCAGGTCGTGGGTGTAGCTTTGGAAGGTATGTTGAATTGGCCCCCAATAAATGCAGCTTTTTACTGGAGTGGAAGCCAGTGCTCCCCTCAGCCAGTGCCCCCTGCACTGCCACCCCATGTCCTGGGAGCTCTGTAGCACAGGCCCCAGGAGAGCTGGAGCCACATGGCCCACCAGGGACACAGTGAGAGAGGAGGGGGCACCCTTCACTGTGCAGGCAGGGAAATGGGGCACTGAGGTGGGCATGGGCGCCGGGGAGCCTGAGTGTCGGGCAGTGCCCGTTCCTCCCTCACCACCTCAAGCCTTTGTGCGTCCCGTGTCAGTTGAGACTCAGCAGGCTGGTGAGCGGGGGGCTGGAAGCCCCCCCACCATGGGGCCCTTGGCCACACTGTCTCTCCCCATCAGTGCACCAAGACCTGTGGGGTGGGCGTCCGGATGCGAGACGTGAAATGCTACCAGGGGACTGACATCGTCCGAGGCTGTGACCCACTGGTGAAGCCTGTTGGCAGGCAGGCCTGTGACCTGCAGCCCTGCCCCACAGAGCCCCCAGGTGAGAAGGAGGCGGCTGAGGGCCCGGCAGGGGCTTCCTGTGGAGGTGTGGGCAGAGCCAGGGCCTGAAGGGTGAGCAGGTGCCAGCCGGGGTAACCAGGGGGGTCTATGGCTACCAAGGCACGTCATGGCAAAGGTCTACCCCGGAACGGCCAGGCCTGTCTGCGAGGCGAGGGTGGGAAGGGGGGCACGTGAGGCCTGCCTGGAACTTGGGTCCCCATGCCAAGACCTGCACTTTGGAAAGGGCATCTGGTTTCAGAAGATGGGAGGGCCACTGTGGGCAGGGGCTGGGACCCCAGGATGCTTCAGCCTGAGAAGTCCGGTGCTCGGCACACAGGAGATGGGGAGCGAGGGGCTGACACAGGGTCTTGGCATCGGGCACCTGGAAGATGGAGGAGGGTGCTGGGCCCTGAAGGGGGCAGAGGCAGGGGATGAACTCTGCCTCGGATCTACTGAGGGGCACCTGTGGGCTTCCCGGGGATGTTCGGGCTCCTTGGGGGCTCCTCCAAACCCCGGCCCGGGGCATCACCCAGATGGAAGCACCTGGTGGGGTGGTGCTATCCCTGGGGAAGGATCAGGGGCAGGAAAGGGGAGGCACAGGAACGGAGCGCAAGTGGCTGTAGTGGGGCAGGAGGCCCACTGTCCCTGCGCCTGGGAATGGGGTCACCTGTCCTCAGGGGCTCTGTCACCCAGGGCCACCCTTGTGCAGCCCAACTCCTGCATCAGAGGAGAGGAGGCAGGGGTGGGGTGAGGTGGGGATCCTGTCCTGTCGAGTTTTCGCCCCTTGGCTGCCTGCCGATGCCCCATGTGCCCACCATATCCTTTCCCCAGACGACAGCTGCCAGGACCAGCCAGGCACCAACTGCGCCCTGGCCATCAAGGTGAACCTCTGCGGCCACTGGTACTACAGCAAGGCATGCTGCCGTTCCTGCAGGCCCCCCCACTCCTAGGCCTGAGCCGACACCCCTCAGAGACCCACAGCAGCCTTTGGGGCCCTGCCATGCACACCCTTCCCGCAGGGCGCCCAGCTGTGAAGACGTGACGCTGAGCCTCGGCTCTCCTGGGAGGGAGAGCCCCCGTGTGCCTCCGTTGGCCCTGCCCCGGGAGGCCATCCTCAGGGCCGCCAGGAAGGCGTGTCTGTGGTTCCAGCCCCAGCGCCCGGCAGCGCCAGCCTGTTGGGGGCCCTGGACGCCCTCCCACTCCAGGGCTGTGCCACCAGGGGAATGGGCAAGGGGGCAGCCAGGGAGACCTGGGTGCTGCCTCGGGTCCTGGCCCTCTCTAGATGCACCCCTTTCAGAGCAATCTGTATGTCACAACTTAGCGTCTGCCGGCCTCCCTTACACGAAGCTGGCCCACCGAGGGACCCACTGCACTTTACGTCCGGGGGAGCGGCGCCCTTTCTCGCGACACGCTTGGATGTACTGTGGCCGTCAGTACTCCTCTGTAGGTTAATAAAGTGGTCGTGTTTATGGCGGCATCGTGGGCTCTCCGTGGCTCTGGTGGGAGGACCGGCCGTGAGGCTTCCCAAGCCAGGTGTGCAGCGCGCACACTCAGGAAGATGTGCTGTGGCCTCGGGCTAGGGCGGGGGCACAGGCTGCAGCATCTGCCCAAGGAAATGATGCCAGGAAAAAGCAGACAGAAGGCAACAGTGGGGCGCCTGCAGGGAGGGGGTCGGGGGATTGGACCAGAACTGAGTGGGTCTCACACCTAGAACACGGGCCTGCGGGACATGGGGGCCCTGGTGGGAACTCCGTACCCCAAGCCTCAGGAGAAAAGCTCCCACCTCACGATGTTGGGAAGAACAGAGGAGATAAGGCAGGTGGGGCAGGGGTAGGCTGGGGGTCACACACTGAGCACTCAGGAACCACCATCAGGAACTACTGTTTCTGGACCTCATTAAAAGCTACTTAATTTAGATTTGTGGGTGCAGGGACACAGGAGGGCTTCCTGGGGGAGGTGACGTTTAGGCTGTACAGGAGTGCTTCTCCTGGGTGAAGTGGGGGACCAGTGTAGAGGAAACAGCGTGCACACCGCCTGGAGACAGTGGGGCTGTGGAGGGTGCAGAAGCAAGCTGGTCTGGTTGCAGTGGAGGGAGGGGACGTGGGTGTCCCCCTGCCGCAGGACAGCGAGCCTGCAGGATCATCTTCTTTGGGGGCAGGTAGCAGGGAGGCAGGTAGCTGCCAGGCCACTTCCCTGGGATGCGGAGCCCAGAAACAGGACCAGAGAGGGTCCACCACATGGTATTAGGATGGCATTGAGGGGACACTGCAGGTTCACTGCGGCCCGTGGGCGCGGCTTACTTGAGGCCACACTCTCAGCGCCAGTAGAGGTGAGCCACGGTCACCCTCACCCAGGCCCCGGGCCTTCCTGCTGTTCCCCAGCCCTGTGCTCTGTCCCCGTGCCCCAGTCCCCTTCCTCCCAACGCTCCCTGGGCCCAGAGCATTGTCAGGGCTCCCGGAGCTCCGAGTTCAGGCCTGGGAGCCCGGAAACACACGTGGCTGGCTGTGGCTAGCCCTCCGTGCCTGACCCTGCGCTGGACGCGGCCCCTCCCGAGGTTCCAGAGAGGGGTCTGGGCTGGCCGGGAACTCTGGGCCCACCGAAGCCAGCAGCAGGGCGGCCCTGGAGCGCCCCGCCAGACCCCACAGTGCTGCAGAGTGAACACACGTGGATGAGTGCATGTTTCATTTCAAACTGGTATCAATCTATACAGTGGGTAGGGATCAGAAGGGGAAATAGGGAACTGGGACAGAATAGCCACAGGAAGTGCCACCTCCCAGCCCTTGACCCCCACCCCCCTCCCCAGCCCACCCCCCAAGATGATGCATCAGAAACAGACTCAGGGTTCCACAAAGGAAGGGGAGGCGGGGGCTTCGGGAAGCCGGTGTGAATTCCACGAGCAGGTCCAAACTGAGACGGGGAGAAAGGGAGGAGAAAAGAGCTGAGATGATAAAAATAGTCTTCACTGACTCTGCTCACGTCCACGCCGCTCAACTCATTGGTGCTTTCGGCCAGAAGCGGGTGCTCAGGCTGGGTGGCTCAGGGCCCTGCAGTGGTTTGTTTGCAAGGAAGCTGGCTTAGCTGGGGGAGCTTGGTCCGATGTCCTGGGCAGAGAGGGGCTACCCTACCTGGGGCCGCTCCGCCACTGGCCCAGGGCAGAGGGGGCCCAGGGAGAGCTGGGGCCCTGGGGCCTGCAGGCAGGAAATCATGCCTCTGACTGGGTGTAGGAGCTGAATTCTCATGGCTGGTGCTCCTCGGTTTGGGGCATTTCTCTGCAGTGGCTATTGAGCATCAATTCCCCAGCTGGAGAGAAGGGGTTGGAGACTGGGTTCCCAGGGAAACCCCCCCCACTGGGCGCCTGGAGGAGATTGGGCTCAGCTGGGGTTGTCACATGGAGCTAGAGCAGGGGAGGGGTGGCCGGGGGCCTTGCTTGCTTCCAGGTCCTCCTGAGAAATGTGGGGCAGGGGGGAGAGCTTAGGTTTGCCTTCTCTAGGGACCAGAGCTAGGGGGGCTCCCGGAGGCTGGGGCCCAGGGGCAGGAGGCCCTAACCTGTCAGGCCTGAAGAGTGGGCTGTGCACTTAGCGTGGACACTCCTGAGGCAGGTGGTCAGCACATGGCTGCTCCCCTCCTCTGCGCTTCCCTCTTATACGAAAAAGCCAGTCAGGGCTGCACATCCCAAGGGCCTGGCCACCCGTGAAACTCCCCCTTCTGTGGAGACCTGCAGGGGGGCCAGCCCAACCAGTGTCTCAGCCGAATGGGCCTTGAAGCCAGAGGTGTGTGTGCAAGCTGGGAGGAAAGGGACAGAACACCACCATCAGGGAAGGCTTGTGCTGCAGGGTCCCCAGCATCGCGGCCACCGCCCCTTCCTTGAACAGGCTGGTAGGCGGGGAGTGATGTCGTCAGCCCTGCTCCCGAGATGCCCAACTGGCTGGGGCTGAGGTGGAGGCTGCTTTCCACTACCCCTTCCCTAACCAGAGCCCGGCCTCGAGAGGCTGTCTGCCATCAGGACGCCCGGTTCACCTGTGCCTGCGCTGTGCAGGCCTTCTAGCCCCAGGCCGGGTCCTCCCACCCCCCGTGGCCACGCTTGGTTCCCTGGGCCTTATCCTTGCAGCGAGGCCCAGAGCTCCCTGACGGAGCCTCGAGATGACCGGGATCGACTGGAGGAAGGCCAGGCTTAGCCCAGGTGCAGGCCTGGGGCCAGGCTGCTGTGTCCCTGAGATCCCAGCACGGTCCCGGGACTTGTCAGAGCCGGAGCGGGCAGCTCAGACGTCGGTGCTGATGCTGCGGCTCCGGGAGAAGGCCTCCCGCATGGCGGACAGGCGGCTGGGGTTGAGCGCCTGCAGGCCCTCGAAGCCCCCGGGCGGCAGCCCCACGTCCTCCTGGCTGATGCTCTTGTAGGCGATGCGCTCCCCGCCGTTGTGTACACCCCTGTCCTCGGGCTCCTGCAGGAAGAAGGTCGGGGGCTCGTAGTGGGAGCAGCTGCGGCAGAGGGTGCGGGCCTGCGGGGACTTCTGGCTGAAGGAGGTGGAGGCGGCGGGGTAGAGGGCCGGCCCGTCGGTTAGCGCCAGGCTGCGGCTGGAGAGCAGCGGTGGCAGGTGGGAGCGCACGGCGAAGTCGGGCTCCTCCTCGGCCTCCTCCGACTCGTCCTTCTTGCAGCAGTAGTACTGCGGGCAGAGGGCTGGTGACCGCCGGCTCCCACCCCCGCCACGGGCTCAGGGAGGGGTCGGCTGGGCTCGGGGCGCAGTGTGGCTCAGGCAGCCCGTTCTGGCCACCCCTCACGGTGCCTGCTCCTCCAGGCACCCTGTTAGATGTTCTGCAAGGAGGGACTTGCTCATTTGGTGCTTACAGTGTCCCGAGGCAGGTGCAATGGTCACCTCCATTTTTCAGGTGGGGAAACTGAGGCACAGGGAAGTCTGGCAACCTGGAAGTGGCAGAGCTGGGGTACAAGCCCAAGCAGTCTGGCCCCGATCTGGACTGTGCAGCCTTGCTCTGCATATACATACGGCGTCCTCCCACTCAGGAAGACATGGGACCTCAGATAGCCCAGGAGTGTGGGTCGCGGGGGACAGTATCAGGTGATGGAGCAGCATGGCCCAAGTGTTCACCCTTACTCTCTGGATTGGCAGCTGTGTGCCATTTGCTCAGTGCCCTGCCCTCTCTGAGCCTCAGTGGCTGTACCTTGCCGGGTACCTGCAAGCCCTGGGTGGGCAAGCCATGGAGCTGTCATCAGGCAACCCTACAGGTGGAGCCTGGGCCGGGGCTGCCAGCTTTGCACCGTCACGGAGACCCGACTCTTCCCCGCTTGCTGGGCCCCAGCCCTCATGGGGGCTCCTGCCCTGCCCCCCGCCCCATCCCTGGGTGTACCTGGAGCCGGCAGTAGCACAGAACAGCAATGATACAGAGCAGAATCACAGTCGCCAAGATGCCCCCGGTGATGACCACGGTCCCGGCTGTCATCCGCCCCCTTCTCCATCAACGGCCTGCAACACACGCCACCAGCCTTACCACCTCAGCGCCTCCTCATTGCCAAGCAAACTGTTCTAGTTTAGAAAGTGGAGACAGCAAGTCACAAGGGAAAATAAAGCACCCAGCACGTGCACACAGGAGGCAGTGCCGGGCCCCGGGGTGTGGCAGGAGGAGACCCAGGCCCATCCTGCCTCGCCCCCTTCCAGCCCGCTTCCGTGTCTGTGGAGGGTGATGCCAGTAACACCCCCCACCTCGCCCATGGGGTTCTGTGGCGATTCCGCCAGCATGTATTTCGGCACTTGGCTCAGCAGGTCCAGCTGGGCTCTACAAGCTCCTGCGTTTTAAAACCTCCTGAAATGCCATCAAGCTGAACGTATGGTTTTATGACCTGCTTTTTCACCTACCAAAATCATCTTCATTTTTCCAGATCATTCAATTTTATTCTGCAACATAACTTTTAGCCATATTCCATTGTATAATATCACCGATCCCTTTTCTTTAAAAATTTTCATTGAGATAAAATACACATAGCATACACGTTGCTGTCTTAGTCAATTTTAAGTGCACAGCTAGGTAGTGTTAAGCACAGTCACACACTATTGTGCAACCATCTCCAGAACTTCATCTTTCAAAAGTGAAACCCAACTCCTTTTTGATATTTAAGTTGTTTACATTAAAAAATATCTTAAGCGGATGTTTCAGTGTTTCTGTGGCTAAGTAATTGGAGCCACTTGAGCTACAGGGCCTACTTCAATTACGTTTCCAGGATAAATTCTCAGAAGTGGGATTTCTAGGCCTAAGGACATGCCCTTTGTAAACCCCTTCTTATAGAATATGTCAAACAGAAGTAGCGACTATGAACCTCGCCATCACCAGCTGCGATCTTGTTAGTTTTTCCATCTGTCCAGCTGGTGCTGATAAACCAGTTCTCAGAATATAAGAACCCCGACTTGTGGCATTTGCTGATTCCCTGGCGTAAATATTCTCATTATGGCCCGGTTCAAGTC